AGGATCCTCCCAGGATGGGAGAAGCATGCTGAAAGTAGACTGTAGACCGAACATGATTGCCACTCAATGCCTCTTTTGCAAACCACAACACCCAAAAGGAGAGAGAGAACAAAAGGAAATGCCCTGCCACAGAGGCAGGGTGGGATGGGGGGATGGGGGGTGGGAGGGGTACTGGGATTAGTGTTGGTGGAGAACGGGCACTGGTGGAGGGATGGGTACTCGATCATTGTATAACTGAAACCCAAGCACAACAACTTGTAAGTCTACAACTGTACCTCATGGTGTTTCACTAATAAAAATAAAATAAAACAATCTCTTGGTTTCATTTACCCTTTGAAGGGTTTGCTTGATTTCTGCACCGGTGATTACTGCTCTAATTTTTATTTCCTTCCTTCTACTTTTTGTGGGATTTGTTGGTCTTTTTCTTTTTTTTTTCTTCTTGGGTCACACCCAACGATGCATAGGGGTTACTCCTGGCTCTGCATTCAGGAATTACTCCTGGTAGGTTCGGGGGATGCTGGGAATCGAACCTGGGTCGGCTGCATGCAAGGCAAACGCCCTCCCCACTGTGCTATTGCTCCAGCCCCATTGTTGGTCTTTCTCTAGATTCTCAATCTGCTTGCTTTTTCCTGCTTCGTGATACAAGCCTATACTGTCTGAACTTCCCCTCTGTGCTGTTTTTACTAGGTCACATAGGTTTGGATAGTTTGCGTTTTCGTTCATTTCAAAGCATATTTTCATTTATTCTTTGATATCCTTCTTGCTCCAAGAGTTATTTAATGGCGTGTTGTGAAGTTTTCAAGTGCTGGCGCTTGCCCCAACCTTCCCTGTCTGGGTAATTGTCACCTGTGTGGTATAGACGACACTTGGTATCCTCTTTTTGTGACCTTCTGGACACTCAGGTTGCTCTCAGCTTGCGCCCTTGAGAGAATATGTATTTTGGCTTGGGGTGGGGGTGGAGAGGTCGATACGTCTTCCAGGTTTCCCAAGACTTCTGCTCAATCCTCCCACTGCTGTTGTGTTTCCATTCCACATTCCTTAGGTCTGTGAGCTGCGCCTTTATAAACGTCTCAGGCCATTGTTTCGGTGCATCTAGACTGTGAATAGTTAACCCTCGTGACCTACTACCAGTACGAGATGTACCTTCCTATCTCATTACTGTCTTTAGGCCTAACGCCAGTCTGATACAAATATAGTTCTTCCTGACTTTTTTGGGGGGTCTGCTGTTAGTGTTAGTCATATGACTGTTTTCCACTGTAACTTTCACTGGCGTTTATCCTGAGAGTTCAAATGTGTCTCTTATAAGCAGTAAGCTAATTTTTTGCTTTCAGCTCTCTCTCTCACCATTGTGTGACTTTTGCTGGAAGAGTTTAGCCCACTTACGTTTAGAGAAATTATTCTCTACGTGGATTTGGTGCCATTTTCTCTAAGGATTTTGGTTGTTTTTGTCATCTGACATTTGCTTTTTATAGAAGGTCATTCAGTCTTCCTTGCTGAGATCTGTTTGTCTTCAACAAATGGCTTCAGCTGTGTCTTTCAAGAATTCTTTTTATCACGCCTTGGGATCTGAGCGAGCCTTGCGGGGTGGAGGGTTTTTAGCTGGAGGTTGTTTTCATTTAGTACTTTGAGCGTATCTATTGTCTTTTTGCTTACAGAGTTTAAGCAAAGAATTGGTGTAGATTTTAAGTTATTTTCCTTCTATTTGAGGCTTTGCTTGTCTCTTGCTACTCTGAGATCTCTCTCTCTCTCTCTCTCTCTCTCTCTCTCTCTCTCGTTCACAGCATGTCCTGGTGTCGATCTGCTCGGGTTTATTTGGTTTGCAGCTTTGGGCCTCCTGGACCGTTGCACGAGCCCGTCCTCAGGCTGAGGAGCCTGATATTTCTCCCACCAGCCGTTCTTCCATTTCCTCTTCACTCTCCTCCTGTGTCCGTGACATGGAGGTTGTTCCTCTTGATACTGTCAAATGTATCTCAAATTTTCATTTTAAAAATCCCTTCTCTCTTATTTATTCCTTGTTGACACCATGTGCCTTATCTTTGGGGACCCCAATTTGATTTTCAGCTTCTTCCGTTCTGCTGCTGGGCCCTCCTCCTGGAGTCATTAATTCTGCTTGGATTCGTTCTTTCCTTCAAGCTACCTTCTCTCCCAGTGAATTCCCCCGTCCAGTGAACAGAGCAAGGAATGCGACTTGTCCTCAGTGTGGAAAGTTCGAAAGTAGTCAAGGACTTTCCTGGGCTGCTACCCCCACCCACCGGTGTGGCTGAACGGTCTTTCTTTCTCATTGTTTCTGGTGCCTCGTGGGCGCTGAGGCCGGAGCGCCCGGCTCAAACCCTGTGCTCTGTTCCAAACTGGGGCCCGCGATGACTAATCTCAGGCCGCCATAGCTACTTCATTAGAATTTATCTAGTTCTTTCGAGATCAACCCTGGGCATGTGGCTCTGTGTGCATCTGGAGGGCAGCAGGGATTTTTGGCCGCCAACGTCCCGTAGCTGCAGCATCGTGCCTGGCCGGTCTGGGCCCGGCTCCCAATCTGATGTGTCCTCGCAGCCCCACAGACATCGCAGTGACTGGACACGGTGGCCACAAACATCCAGTGGCGGTTCTTCATCAAGTTTACTTTAGTCACGGGGGACTTAGCATTTTCCGGCACAGCTAGCTCCGTCTCTGACACCACAGGTGAGCCTTCGGGGTCCTTGACACGGAGCCTCTGCCGCTTCGGCCTCTGCTTGCAGACTGGGTTGATGCCGCCGCCCTGTGAGCGCGCTTCAGTTCCAAGAGGGTGTGACTACAAACCTGTCAGCTCATCCCACAGCTGGAATCTGACAGGCTGGCCTTGAGGGTGGACTTGGGCCGGCCAGCCAGGCTCACCTCAGGGACAGCTGCTCCCGGCTGGAGCAGGTGGACACGACCTTGTGTTCCTGAGACCTTCTGGCTGAGGGAACTCAACTGCAAAGCTAATCCTGTTTCTTGTTTTTCAAAAGAACCAAAACCAACAGTTTTACGTTCAGCACCCCAACACGCACCTGAAGGCTGGCGTGCTGCCGCAGAAGCTCACACAGCCTGTTGGCCCGGCTCACCTCAGGAACTCACCTCAGGAACTCCCCTCAAGGTCTCACCTTAGGAACTCACCTCGGGAACTCATCTCAGGAACTCACCCTCTGTGGACCCAGTCCTGGCCTCCCCAGAGGAGAGATGGGGTGGGCAGACCCAGAGTCCATAGTGCAGAAGCAAAGTGTGAAAGCCCCGAGCTTGTCTCATCTGCCTTTTCTTCCCCCAGAACATGAGAACAGACCCCAGCCACGCTCCTGGGCCCTGCCCTGGAAATGGGCTGAAACATCCTCTTCCTGTGGGATAAAAGTGGGCTGTGTGGCCCCTAGGCCCACCTGCTCGTGCTCACGGTCACCCAGAGTTCAGGGGACCTGAGAAGACAGCGGGTGCTCACGCACGCCCTCCCACCACACCCCAGGGCCCTCAGCACCTTCTACAGAGGCCCCAGGCCCAAAGCTGAGCGTCTCAGCACAGAACAGGAAGATTCGGGCTCTCCCACCAGGTCAGAGCACTGCCCACGTGGCCCCCCACACACTACATACACATGCACACACCACACACAGGCACCAGACACACCACACACACATGCACAAGAACCAGACACACACACACAAGCACCACACCACACATACACACAAGAACCAGACACACCACACACACACACACCAGACACACCACACACATACACAAGAACCAGACATACCACACACACCAGATACACCACACACACATACACAAGAACCAGACACACCATACACACACTAGACATACCACACATACAAGAACCAGACACACCACATACACACAAACACCAGACATCACACATGGACACAGAGGCATACACACAAGCACTATATATGCAGCACACAGGTACACCACACATACACACCACACACATCTTACATAGCATATCTAAACACACCCGCCACGTATCACAACATGCACTCTGCACACATGTGCACACATGCCACAGCCATCTGCACACAGTGCACAGAGCACAGACTCGTCCTTTCAAAGATTTTAATACATACTTAAAAACGGACACTGTCACACAATTAGAGAACGTGGGAAACGTCGCATCTGTAGAGAGAAATGTCTGTATGGAGAGTTTCGTCTTTTCAGCAAAATAGTTTCATGCGTATAAAAGTGTCACCCTCAGCCACTTGTGACAAAGAGAAGGGGCAGGAGAGAGAGCCCGGGGAGGGCTCAGGGAAGGGAGCCGGTCCGCAGGGACAAGGCCGGCACGAGAGCATGGACCAGGCTGCTCTGTCACCGGAGGCGGTTCCCGATCGCTCCAGGAGTCCTGGGGAATTTAAGGCCATTTGTTCTAAGGAAACGCTCCAGTCAGACTGACGCCACCTCACAGAACTGGAATTCTGGCAGGGGCCGCGCACACGTGGACGCCATCACGTGTGCGTGGGTTCTTGATGGCTGGCTGCAGTCAGACGTCACGGAAGGTTCCAGCTTGTGTGCTGTGCGGGGAGGCAGGAGTGGGCGGGGGGGACCCACCGCGAGAGCTGGGGTCCCCTCTGAACGTGGGCGTTGATGGGGGAGCAAGGAAAAGGGTCAGACTCCTGCCACGGACGCGTGCGTAGGATCGGCTCATCCCCCTGGGCCACGCCTGTCGCTGCTGGAGAGATGCCCTCACGTCTGACTGGCTTCCGGGCACAGCCACGTGAGGCGCCTCCCGACGGTGCCGTTGCAGCTCTGGGTATTGCTCTCAGGAGAGGAGCGACGGGGCTAGAGCCTGGACTCCAGGGCCAACCTCCCCCCCGGACAGTCGGACCAGTGCAGAGACCCAAAAGGAGTGATATGTAAACGTTGGCAGACTCCCTCTCCACCAGGCCGAGGACGAGACCCGAGTCAGACCCGCGTGTGCGCCTCTCGGCGGAGGCTGGGACGGAGCCGTCTGCCCCGCGGAGGCTCAGAGGAGACGCCCGTGTTTGGCCCCAAGCAGCTCCACGCTTTTCCCGTGGCTCATGCAACCACCGTATTTACAGTTTTGGGTCAGGAAGAAAATCCGCTTCCAACCCAGGGTGCTCAGCCCCCGGAAGGCCCGGGCTCGGTCATATCTGCGTCTGCAGCACGTGTGTCGGGGGCGTGTAGGGGGGCGGTGCGGGCGAGGGCTTGACGCCGTGCGCCCGCATGTAGGCCAGGAACTGCTCGGGGATCTCGGCCAGCACGTCCTTGGCCAGCCGGGCCATGCTGAGGACGTGGTTCCCGCTCCTGTCCATGTAGTCCCTGAAAGGCACGAACTGAGAGAGGGGGCGTCATGGGCACCTGTGGCACCGCACGCAGGCAACACCGCTCGGGGGCGGCGCACCCCACCCGCCCTCCAGACCCCTGGGCCGGGACTGGCGGGGGGTCCTGAGTGGACGCTGCAGGCTGTGTCCCAGCCCGACCCAGCAGAGGGGGAGCCACCCTCATTCACGCTCACTTCGTGCCTGAATCACGCCACTTCACGCCTAAAGCGTGCTACCTCACGCCTAAAGCATGCTATCTCACGGCCAATGCACACTACCTCATGCCTCAAGCATGCTACCTCACGCCTAATGCATGCTACCTCACGCCTAATGCATGCTATCTCACGCCTAAAGCATGCTACCTCATGCCTAAAGCATGCTACCTCATGGCCAATGCACACTACCTCATGCCTAAAGCATGCTACCTCACGCCTAATGCATGCTACCTCACGCCTAATGCATGCTACCTCACGCCTAAAGCATGCTACCTCACGGCCAATACACACTACGTCACGCCTAAAGCATGCTATCTCACGGCCAATGCACACTACCTCATGCCTCAAGCATGCTACCTCACGCCTAATGCATGCTACCTCACGCCTAATGCATGCTACCTCACGCCTAAAGCATGCTACCTCACGCCTAATGCATGCTACCTCACGCCTAAAGCATGCTACCTCACGCCTAAAGCATGCTACCTCACGCCTAATGCATGCTACCTCACGCCTAAAGCATGCTACCTCACGCCTAATGCATGCTACCTCACGCCTAAAGCATGCTATCTCACGGCCAATGCACACTACCTCATGCCTCAAGCATGCTACCTCACGCCTAAAGCATGCTACCTCACAGCCAATGCACACTACCTAACGCCTAAAGCACGCTACCTCACGCCTAATGCATGCTACCTCATGCCTAAAGCATGCTACCCCAAGGCCAATGCACACCACCTCATGCCTAAAGCATGCTACCTCACGCCTAATGCATGCTACCTCACGCCTAAAGCATGCTACCTCACGGCCAATGCACACTACATCACGCCTAAAGCATGCTACCTCACGCCTAATGCATGCTACCTCAAGCCTAAAGCATGCTATCTCACGGCCAATGCACACTACCTCATGCCTCAAGCATGCTATCTCATGCCTAATGCATGCTACCTCACGCCTAAAGCATGCTACCTCACGCCTAATGCATGCTACCTCACGCCTAAAGCATGCTACCTCACGCCTAATGCATGCTACCTCATGCCTAAAGCATGCTACCTCACGGCCAATGCACACTACCTCACGCCTAAAGCACGCTACCTCACGCCTAATGCATGCTACCTCACGCCTAAAGCATGCTATCTCACGGCCAATGCACACTACCTCACGCCTCAAGCACGCTACCTCACGCCTAATGCATGCTACCTCACGCCTAAAGCATGCTACCTCACGGACAATGCACACTACCTCACGCCTCAAGCACGCTACCTCACGCCTAATGCATGCTACCTCACGCCTAAAGCATGCTACCTCACGGCCAATGCACACTACGTCACGCCTAAAGCACGCTACCTCACGCCTAAAGCATGCTACCTCACGCCTAATGCATGCTACCTCACGCCTAAAGCATGCTACCTCACGCCTAATGCATGCTACCTCACGCCTAAAGCATGCTACCTCACGGCCAATGCACACTACGTCACGCCTAAAGCACGCTACCTCACGCCTAAAGCATGCTACCTCACGCCTAATGCATGCTACCTCACGCCTAAAGCATGCTACCTCACGCCTAAAGCATGCTACCTCATGCCTAATGCATGCTACCTCACGCCTAAAGCATGCTACCTCACGCCTAATGCATGCTACCTCACGCCTAAAGCATGCTACCTCACGCCTAATGCATGCTACCTCATGCCTAAAGCATGCTACCTCACGGCCAATGCACACTACCTCATGCCTAAAGCACGCTACCTCACGCCTAATGCATGCTACCTCACGCCTAAAGCATGCTACCTCACGGCCAATGCACACTACCTCATGCCTAAAGCACGCTACCTCATGCCTAAAGCATGCTACCTCACGGCCAATGCACACTACCTCACACCTAAAGCACGCTACCTCACGCTTAATGCATGCTACCTCAGGCCTAAAGCATGCTACCTCACGGCCAATGCACACTACCTCACGCCTAAAGCACGCTACCTCACGCCTAATGCATGCTACCTCATGCCTAAAGCATGGTACCTCATGGCCAATGCACACCACCTCATGCTTAAAGCACGCTACCTCACGCCTAATGCATGCTACCTCACGCCTAAAGCATGCTACCTCACGGCCAATGCACACTACCTCATGCCTAAAGCACGCTACCTCACGCCTAATGCATGCTACCTCACGCCTAAAGCATGCTACCTCACGGCCAATGCACACTACCTCATGCCTAAAGCATGCTACCTCACGGCTAATGCATGCTACCTCACGCCTAAAGCATGCTACCTCACGGCCAATGCACACTACCTCATGCCTAAAGCACGCTACCTCACGCCTAATGCATGCTACCTCACGCCTAAAGCATGCTATCTCACGGCCAATGCACACTACCTCACGCCTCAAGCATGCTACCTCACGCCTAATGCATGCTACCTCACGCCTAAAGCATGCTACCTCACGGCCAATGCACACTACGTCACGCCTAAAGCACGCTACCTCACGCCTAAAGCATGCTACCTCACGCCTAAAGCATGCTACCTCACGGCCAATGCATACTACGTCACGCCTAAAGCACGCTACCTCACGCCTAATGCATGCTACCTCACGCCTAAAGCATGCTACCTCACGGCCAATGCACACTACCTCACGCCTAAAGCACGCTACCTCAGGCCTAATGCATGCTACCTCAGGCCTAAAGCATGCTACCTCACGGCCAATGCACACTACCTCATGCCTAAAGCACGCTACCTCACGCCTAATGCATGCTACCTCACGCCTAAAGCATGCTACCTCACGGCCAATGCACACTACCTCATGCCTAAAGCACGCTACCTCACGCCTAATGCATGCTACCTCACGCCTAAAGCATGCTACCTCACGGCCAATGCACACTACCTCATGCCTAAAGCACGCTACCTCACGCCTAATGCATGCTACCCCACACCTAAAGCATGCTACCTCATGGCCAATGCACACTACCTCACGCCTAAAGCACGCTACCTCACGCCTAATGCATGCTACCCCACACCTAAAGCATGCTACCTCATGGCCAATGCACGCTACCTCACGCCTAAAGAATGCTACCTCACGCCTAAAGCATGCTACCTCATGGCCAATGCACACTACATCACGCCTAAAACACGCTACCTCACACCTAATGCATGCTACCTCACGCCTAAAGCATGCTACCTCACGGCCAATGCACACTACCTCGCGCCTAAAGCACGCTACCTCATGCCTAATGCATGCTACCTCACGCCTAAAGCATGCTACCTCACGGCCAATGCACACTACCTCATGCCTAAAGCACGCTACCTCATGCCTAATGCACGCTACCTCACGCCTAAAGCATGCTACCTCATGGCCAATGCACACTACCTCACGCCTAAAGCACACTACCTCACGCCTAATGCATGCTACCTCACGCCTAAAGCATGCTACCTCATGGCCAATGCACACTACCTCACGCCTAAAGCACGCTACCTCACACCTAATGCACGCTACCTCACGCCAAAAGCACGCTACCTCACGCCTAATGCATGCTACCTCACGCCTAAAGCATGCTACCTCATGGCCAATGCACACTACCTCATGCCTAAGGCATGCTACTTCACGCCTAATGCATACTACCTCATGCCTAATGCACGCCAATTTATGCCCATCACATGCCACTTCATGCCTAATGCACGCCAACCCTTGCCTAATGCATGCTTTATGCTGGCAGACACCACCTCCTGCCTAGTGCAGGCGCACGGCCCAGCACGGGCTGGAGAGGCTTCCCCGTTGCCCAGGCGTGGGGTGTGAGACTGTGTGGGTCTCCCATGGGTCTCAGAACAGCTGTCAGGGCACAAAGCCGGAGGCTCAGGGGGCCTTTGCACCTGCTGCCAGCCCCTGGCAGAGGCACAGCCCGTGGGCCGGAGCTCACGGATCTCTCTACGCCTGCTCCCACATGAGGGCCTCCATGGCCTGCAGCCAAGAGTGTGACGGCTGAGCCCTGCTCGCACGGCACCTGGGACACCTCGCCAGGCATCTGCCCTCTGCCCTCGATGTGGCCAGGCAGCATGTCCTATGGCATGTGTCCTGCAGCCGTGCCCTGCGGCCATGCCCTGTGGTGTTGTCTGGGCCTCTGGGCGAAGGCTGGGGCTGTCTAGGGCACCTGTGGTGGGACCAAGCAGTGCCTGCTCCCGAGAGCCATTTCTGGCCCCATCACTAAGGAGCTTGGCTTGGCGTACCCTGCAGGGCGCAGGTCACAGTGCTCGGCCGTGCTGGGGGTGGGGGCGGCCACTGCGGGGGTGTGAGCCTCAGAGCGGGGTGGGGGCACGGGCAGTGCTGTAGTGCTGTCCAGGGCACTGCCTCCACCGACAGCAGGAGGAATCTGGGCTCCGGCCTGGAGGAGGCGCCAGCAGGGGACAGGGGTTGTCTTCGAGACCTGACCTGTTGCAGGGAATCAGGTGTGGCTCCCTGAGCCCGGGGGGAGGGGCTGCTGCATTTCCGTCCCTCCTAGCACTCAGCCCGGGCTCAGGGCTCAGTGCTCCTTGTAAGCAGCATGACCCTGAACACGCTTCCTTCCTCTCTCCCGAGTCCTCGCAGGGATGAGGCTGCCGTGCAGACAGCACTGGGCTGACCCCAGAACCTCCAGTGGGACGCCAGCTCTCACGGCCGGGGTGCCACCAGGCGGCCCGTCCTCCGAGCCTGCGTGGCCCACGCGGGAAGTGTCTCGACAGACACCTAGAGCCGGTCAGTTTCCAACTGAGCACGAACCAACACGGTCTATGGAACAGCGACCGCTAGCCTTGCTGGTCCACAAAAACTTTGCTTTCCTAGAACACCCGCAGAGGCACCAGGGGAGGGTGCCAGGGAGGGGCGAGGGGGAGCGGGCGGCAGGTGAGGGCGGGTCTCTGGGAAGGTGCAGCCCCACCGCAGAGCAGGGGGCAGACAGTGGCATCCTGTCTCCCCCCACAGGTCTCACTTTCCTGATTTGCAAATCAATGGAGTGAGTCATGTTGGGGCAACACTGAGCCCAGGCCCCCAAGTGACCCCGGGGTGGGGGGGTGGGGGGGCCCTCTGGGAGAGAGGGCCGAGGAGTGTGGCTGTGTATGTGTGTGCGCATGGATGTGTGCATATGTGAGTGTGCATGTGTGCATGAAAGCATGCGTGTGCATGTATGTTCGAGTATGTGAGTGTGTGTGCGTGCAGGTGTGCATGTATGTGAGAGCATGTGAGTGTGTATGTGTGTATGCAAGCATGTATGTGCGAGCATGTCCACACATGCAAGCATGTGAGTTTTTGTTTGTGCATGTGTGTGCAGACGTGTGTGTGTGTGTGCATGAAAGCATGTGCGCATGAGCAAGCCCGTGAGTGTGTGCACATGTGCGTGTGTGTGTGATGTGAGTGTGTGTGTGTGTGTGTCCCCGTGTGAGAGTTTCGATAAGTCACGTGGGATCAGGTCTCAGTGGAGACCTGAGGTCAGGACCAAGGCACTCGGCGGGCAGTGGTGGTTTCGGGCTGAGACTGGCCCAGCCCAGCGAGCCTCAGGCTGGGTCAGGCGTGACCGGGCTCCGTGAGGTGGGAGGGACGCAGCTCCGACTGCCTCGCACCCAGGGAGGCTGTGGGCTCCGCTCCCGCCCCATGTCCCCGTGGAAGGCCAGAGGCCACCAGCGTCCCCCTCAGAGCCGGAGCCCGGGCACCCGCCGACTCAGACCACTGCACCCCACAGCCACTTGCTGGGGTGCTTAGAGCGTGTCTGTGCCACATGGACAGGCTCCTCACCCAGGCCCGCCCTGCTGCCAGGGAACACCTCAGGGCAGTGCTTGAGACCCCGTGACCCTTCCTGGCCTGCAGAGGGGCAAGGGGTCACCCTGAACCTTTCTGCTTCCACGACTCCAGGGTCATTCCGGACTCGGCTCTGAATCTCCGGGGAGCAGAGTGTGCATCCCCTGCCGCCCCTCACCCTCAGGGGCCCGCGTCACTCTGCGGAGCACTTGGCCCTCCGGGTGTCCAGGCGCTGGTGATGGGCAATCGCTCTAAGGGCCTGACAAAGCCGTCCTGCGGGCCTCGGCACAGGGAGCCCTGCGGCTGGGGGCACCGGGGAGCCAGCAGCCCGTGCCCCGAGACTCGGGGCTGGCCAGTGGACATTCCCGCCTGACCTGGGCTGTCTGGTGTCCCTGCAGGGCCCTCTGCGGTGCTGGGGCTGGTGTGCATCTCCAGAGTGACTGTCAGCACTTCAGGGGGCACCGGCCCCTCCAAGAAACCGCCCCGACGCCGGCAGCAGCCGGGCCCCTCACCTGCACGATGTCCCTCTCGGCGAACTTGCCTCTGGACGACACCCGGACGTCATCCCCGTCCAGTTCCACCATGGCTGGGGGGGACGAGACGGCTGTGAGGGTCCGCCGGACACACTGGATGGCGCCCAGCCCCTGCACACCCAGGGTGCCCCGAGACATGCTCCGGGCCGGCTGGCACGGAGCCAGGTGCAGGCTGAGGGTCTGGTGGCCCTGCAGACAGCCCAGGGCTGCCCAGCTGGGGTGTGGGCAGGACTCTGTCTCGGGGAGGTCACCAGAGTCTCTCTGTTTGTCTCTCTTTGTCTCTGTGTGTCTCCCTTGGTCTCTGTCTGTTTCTGTCTCTCTCTGTCTCAGTGTCTGTCTGTGTCCATCTGTCCCTGTCTGTCTGACTGTTTCTCTGTGTGTGTCTCTGTGTATGTGCACGTGCATCTCCCTGTCTCTGTGTGTGTGCGCGCGCATGTGTGTGTGTGTGTCTCTGTGTCTGTGTGTGTGTGCATGTGCGTCTCCCTGTCTTTCTGTCTGTGTGTGTGTGCATATATGTGTCTGTGTGTGTGTGTGTGTGTGCCCGTGCATGTGCGTCTCCCTGTCTTTCTGTCTTCCTGGGGAATGAACCGGCCCAGCAGATGGCACGTGTCCTTTGAGCGGGGAGCGAGTGGCCGCTTTGGTCAGACTGCCTGGGCCCCTGAGCCATGGACTCGCATCTCCCACAACGCTGGGGGGAGGGGAGGGGACGGTCCGCTGTGGGCCCTGCAGAGGTGCCCGCACTCACCATCAAACTCCGCAGGCCCCACGCCAACGATGATGATGGACATGGGCAGCTTGGAGGCCTGGGGGGGAGAGGAGAGAGAGAGAGAGAGGGAGGGGGAGAGAGAGAGAGAGAGAGAGAGAGAGAGGGAGGGTCAGCGTGCACAGACCGTGGGTGAAGGACAATGGCCCAGAGCCCCACTGATTCTGCGAGGAAACCTGGATCCTTATTATGGGGCCATGCAGCCGACACAGGGCCACCCTCACACACTGTTGTGAGGGACAGGCGGGACAGGTGTGAGGGACTGTTGCAGGACAGGTGTGAGCAGGAGAGGTGTGTAAGAACAGCCTGGCAGCGGGAGGGCGGCTGTGCGAGGCGTGTGAGCGGCGATGACCGGGGTCAGTGCTGACTCAGTTTCCCCGTGCCCACTCACGTTCACGATGGACTCCTTGGTCTGCGCCATGTCCGAGATGACACCGTCCGTCACGATGAGGAGCACGAAGTACTGGGAGCCGTCCTTGACGGAGGCCGCGTACCTGCAGGCGGGGCTGTGGTCAGCGGGGCCCTGTGGCCTGGGCAGCCCCTTCACCAGGACAGGACACTCGGGCCTGGGGGCATCACTGGGAAGGAGACTCAGCAGCCCTGCCGGGGGCCGGGCCCTGGACACGGTCACTGGCATCCTGTGGCACGGCCGAGGGAAGGGCGGGCGTCTGCAGCCAGGCTCCGCGCTCGGTGGGTGGTGCAGGGGCACACGCAGCTCAGGGTGCTCCCCAGGTGGGGGCCACAGGAGGCGCAGGCCCCCTGGCATGGCCGCCTGCGGGAGGCCGGGAGCAGTGGGACGGCCCTGCCATGCCCTGAGCAGTGCAGGTCCACCGCCACTGAGGCAGGAGCACAGGAAACAACCAACGGGGCCATGGCGAGGGCCACAGAGCGGCGGAGACACGGCGGAGACCCGGCAGGAACCCAGCAGAGACGGCCCGCCTGGTGCTGACCTCTGGGTCGCTCCCGTGGGGCTCAGGGCCCCCCAGCTCTGCTCAGGGGTCACCCCTGGGCCTGGGGGTCAGGTGTGACACTGGAGACGGAACCAGGACCGGCCGTGCCTCAGTACTCCCTCTAGCCCTGAGCACGGACATCTTCCTGGGTAGATAAGCTAGTTTTAAACCAACAGGCCGGTAAATAAACTCGTAACATGTTTCAAGCAACCTGGAGTTCCTGAGGAACCGGAAGGCAGCAGCCCTGTGGCCGCCTGTGCAGCGGGTGACAGGGCTGCGGGGCCGCCGAGAAGTGCCCTGGGACGAGGCCACAGAGAGACCCGCCCTCATGGATGGTACCGGGCAGGCGGAAACCGCCTTGCTAAGAGCCCACCATCAGTCGAGCCGGCTCGCAGAGGTAAAAGCAGAACAAAGCCTCGGGCCAGAGTGACACACAGTGGGCGGCACTTTCCCCGCCCGCAGCTCATCTGGGCCCCGAGCCCACCGGAGGGTCTCTGAGCACAGAGCCAGGAGTGAGCCCTGAGCACCGCCTGGCACCGCCCCCAAACAGAACAGCCGAAGGCAGAACCCTTTGGGGGCCGGTGACGGACCCCTGTGTGTCTAAGACCCAACTAAGAGCGACCTAGTAGCTCACGGTGCTTTCAGAAAATAACATCTGGGAAAATGTCTTTGTAAAGGTTGAGCGTTGGGACACGCGAGGGCACCGATGCCAAGTGCTCTCTCTGCGGAGGCAGGACGAAGCCTTCTGCGAAGAGGTGGGCCGTGGAGACTCAGACTGTTCTGGGCGGGGTCCTACGTGGTCAGCTAGTTCCTACTGGTTCCTCATTTCAAAATGGCAATAAACGACCAGGTGTACGGCCTCCCAGAGAGCCCAGGAGGATGAGTGACAACAACTCACCGCGGGCGGGGGTCCTCGGCCCCCAGAGGGGTTGTGCGTGGCCCCGGAAGGCCGGAGCCCATCCTGCTGGTGGTGCTCTCGGAAGCTCGGCACCAGGAAAGGCCCAGACCCCCGCACAGCAGAGAGGTCTCAGCGACGGGCATGGCGGGCACCGAGTGGGCCAGCGTCTCCCTGGAAGCAGGGCAGAGGCAGCGTGTGCCCCGCAGGGGTCATGCACACTATAGCCGCCTCCCCTTGGCACTGCACCCACTGATGGAGACGCTGGCCTGTCATAACTGGGCCTGACACAGGTACCGGCTGGTAGCCCTGGTGAAGTGAGGGGCACTGCCCTCAGGGACCAAGGAGGGACAGGGACTGCCCTCGGGGACCAGGGAGGGTTGGGAACTGCCCTCGGGGATCAGGGAGGGTCAGGCATTGCCCTCCGGGACGAGTGAGGGTCGGGAACTGCCCTCGGTGCCCACCAATGAAATGACAGGCACTGGCATCAGTGGATCCCGGAACCCACGTGGCTCCAGACGGGCACCCCAGTCACGGGGAAACAGGGACACGCAGGGCCAGGGATGAAGGGGGAAGCAGAGGCGGGCACACCTCCCTAAGGACCCACCCCCAGCGGCCAGTGTCACCTGAGGAGAAGCCGCCCCATCCCTGGGTGGGGCGGAACTCTACAGGGATGTGTCTGCCCAGGCGGCCCCTCCATCACCGCCCGGCTAAGGGGAGCTCCCCAGGGACCCGGCCAGCCGGGCTGCTTGTGTGACTTTCCAGCCCAGCCTGAGGCAACACACACTGTGAGGTGGGGCCAGCAGAGGCCGCGTGACCCTCCACACCAGAGGGCTCCCAGCACCCCTGCCAACACCCCTGCCGCCCGCCCCCTGCACAGTTCACCTCCCTGCCCCCACCCCTGCTCCCTGCCCTATGCCCCCTGCATGACTTGGGCCAGGGAGGGAGGCGAGAGCGCCCCTCTTTAGGGGTCCTAAACCAGCGGAGTCTTACCCACAACAAGTCAGCGGCGCCTGACTCATTCACACCCAAGTGTCAGGGCAGAGCTGAGCCCGTCCGGGCATCGTCCCCCGGAGAGCCCCGAGCGCGCGGTCAGGGAACAGCGGGGAGGGGGCTGGCCCGGGCTCGGGGAGACCCTGGAGGAAGGCGCCAGCCCCCGGCACGGGCGGACGGCACCGTCCACGCCGACCTCGCACCCGTGTCCTCGGGCGTAGGAGCAGGGCCGGCGTGCGGGTCCCAGCGCCCCTCACGGCTCACCTGGCGACGTGGTTGATGACGGGCGCGAAGTTGGTGGGGCCGTAGAGCTGCACGGCGCGCAGGCTGCGGTAGTAGGCCTCCATCACGCCGTCGATGCCCTCGCAGTACGGGTTCTGCGGGTTGCCGTTCTGCGGGGCAGGGCGGGGCTCAGCTCACGGCCGGCTCACGCTCACGCTCAGTCACCCACACTCGTGCTCGGTCGCGTTCACACTCACTGACCCACTCACACTCACTCACACTCCGTCACATTCACCCGCTCTCACACCTGGTCATGCTCACACACACCCACACTCGTGCTCACACTCTCACTCACGCCCAGTCACCCTTACACTCAGACTCGGGCACACTCACTCTCACGCTCAGGCTCACACTCACCCGCTTTCACTCTCGGTCACGCTCACACCCAGTCACACTCAGCCTCACCCACACTCAGCCTCGGCCATGCTCACTCTGCACTCACCCACATCCACACTCACACGCGCTCCCTCGCACGCTCACTCTCACCCCGTCACGCTGACCCTCTCACACTCTCATTCGCTCTCACGTTCACACGCCCCTTCACGGTCCTGCTCACCCGCCCGCACACACTCGCGCTCACCAACACGCTTACACTCACTCATGCTCACACTCCCCCACTCACACTCGCCGCAGTGCGGGTGACGAGGTGCAGGGGGCAGTCAACGGGCAGGGGTGGGCCCTGGAGGAGCTGAGCTCTGCGGAAGCGTCTCCCACAGCACCACGGCGAGAAGCCCGCGGCCCGTCTGGCCCACGGTGTGGACTCGCTGTCTGGGGCCGGGAGAGGCCAGAAGAGGCCGGGGCGGCCCCGAGCCCCCTGCTGCCAGGCCACCCGCTGAGGGCTGCCCCCGCCCCCGCCCACCAGCCGACTCAGACCACTGCGGATAAACGCGGGTGTGAGTTCCACAGCCCTGAGAGGAACAAAGGGCTTTTCACGTCACGGTGGTTCTGCGAGCAGGTGGGCAGGAGCGCGGTGGCCGCCCGCCGCCCCCTCGGCCCCCCGCCCAACCCCTTCCGCCACGCCACGCAGGGCCAACGCAGAGCGGAGCTGGGGGGTGGCGGGGGCTGCCGGGGCCACCTGCCCTAGACACGGGCCCAGGGAGGCTCTGGGGCCTTCTCGCGCTCACCCCTTCCTGGGTGCCGGCTCGAGTCAGCCCAGGCGGGAGCCACGGTCACCGCTGAAGCTTCCGCCGCGCCTGCCTGCTGAGAAACTTTCTAACGCAGAATGACACGATCTTTTAAAAACAAGCGCTCTGACTTAAAATGATTTACAGCTTTCCCCTGATTCCTCTTAGTGGCAAAGTTGCAGCGAGGTTTAACAATCTGTTTAAAAACTACTTCTTAAACTAATCTGAAAATTAGCGTGCTAGCTGAAACAAAAACAGCTTGTGGGTGGACCCAGCACAGCAATAAAATGGGATACTTCATTTCTTGTTCTTGTTGTTGTATTTGTTTTCGGGTCACACCTGAAAGTGCTCAGGGCTCACTCCTGGCAGTGCTCAGAGAACCATATGGGGCGGGGGGGGGGGGTGTGCCAGGCATCACACCCAGTGACCACATGCAAGGCCGGCACCCTTCCTGCTGGACTATCGCCCGGGCCCCGAAAGTTCTCTCTGGATAGTGCTCTTGGCTTCAGCCCAGTGAAGAGGACCTGACGCCTCATGTTCCCTTTCACTTAACTCTTTTCCACATCTAAGTGACAATATGCACGCACGGGACACCCTGAGAGTTCAGAGAACAGAATCCAAAATGGGCCTAGCAGCCCTGGGGGTGACTCAGTGTCACCCGTGTGTGGCCCCTGATCTGTGTGTGACTGAGAATGGACTGTGTGTGTATAGCTTTGTGTGGTGTGACTGTGTGTGGTATGTGGTATGTGTGACTGAGTGTGTGACCCGTGTGTGTGGCCTGCTTGTCAGACTGTGTCTGACCTGTGTGTGTGGTGTGTGTGACTATGCATGACTGTGTGTGTGGCTGTGTGTAACTGTGTGACTGTATGTGGATGTGAGACTGTGTGTGACTGTGTGATCATGCATGACTGTGTGCGTGGCCCGTGTGTAACTTGTATGTGTGGCCTGTGTGTCACTTGCATGTGTGGCCCATGGGTGACCACGGTTGGGGCCTGGTGACACTGTCCTGTGTGTGGCCAACCTGATCTGCAGCTCCAGGAGTGGCGCCGGCTCAGAGCCACATGAGGTGTGGAAGAAGGGATCTCCCTGGCAGGAGAGGTCTTCCGGGTTCGAGTGCAAAGACGGGCTGGCCCCGAGGCTGGCGGAGGCAGGAGGGAGGCCCAGGCCGCACTTCGCTCAGCCATTGGCTCCCTGGGCTTTAAACAGCCGCTGACCTTTCCCCAGTGACGCCTCCGGTGCGGGAGGGACTTTCTCCGTCCCTCGCCCCTGATTCTGGTTCCTACGACCAAGAACCCCATGACTCTCCCGGGGGGGTGGGGGGCTCAGCCTCCCCGGGGTGAGGGTGTGGGATGAGGAGTCAGGAGCAGAGACTCAGCGACTGCTCCAGAGGTTCTGGGAAACGGAACCGTCCAGAAGCTTCTAGAAGCACATCTACTCGCAGGGCAGTGAAGGGCGGGCAGGTGGGGGGCCAGGGCTTGGGATGGGCTCTCCAGAGCAGGCCGGCCAGGGGCCCACGAGGCAGGGCTGGAGCCCTGGCACCGTGGAATGCGCAGAGGAGGGCCTGGGCCGGCTTTGGCTGGGCCTGAGGCTGTCTGCAGCTGGCCTGAACCAAGGCCCGATGCCGCCTGCCATCCTGCCCCTTCTCCCAGCCAGGAGACCCTCCACCCCAAATGCCTCTGGCAAGGAGGGGGGTGCGGTTGCCCCCTGGCCTCCCAGCAGCTCTCCCGAGTGGCGGTCAGTCCCCGCCTGCCCTGTGAGGTCCAGCGAGAGAGGCCCAGCCTCAGACACTCGCTGTGGGACGCGGCTTCCCTCAAGGGACCCCCGACCACAGGGTGCCCCTAACCCACTGCAGAGAGCGGTGGCGCCTGGCCGTGGGCGAGGCTGGCAGTGGCATGAGACAGCAGGGCCCTGGCAGGGGGAGTGGAGGGGGCACCTGGAGGCCCCCTCAGGACGAGCTGCCCGGGGCTGGCGAGGAGACGCAGCGTATTTGCAGAAGCCCCGACTGACCCCCACAGTGCTCACCCCTGCACGGGGCAGGTATGGGGCAGTGAATCAGCAGAGACATGGCAGAGACGTGGCAGAGACATAGTAGGAACATGGCAGAGACGTGGCAGGGACAATGCAGAGACATGAACCGATGCGGCAGGAATCCGGCAGAGCCGTGGCAGGACCCGTCAGGGCCATAGCAGGGGCAGGCAGAGCTGACACGGGGGCTGCTTCTCCCGGGCCGGGCTTGGGTGCCGGCGGCGGGCGCCTCCGTCAATCACTCCCAGTGCCCAGTGAGCCCCCGGGGACGGGGTCTGCACAGCGGTGGGTGACCCCCGCCGGCCCGAGTGCTGCCCCCGGGCCTTACCAGAGCAAACTCGTGCGAGATCCTCCCGTCCGGCGGCAGCCTGGCCCCGAAGCCGAGCGCGGGGAACATCTTGTCGCTGTCGTAGTCCTGCACGATCTCGCCCACGGCCTTCAGCGCCATGCCGTAGGCGTTCAGCTGGTAGGGGTTCATGTAGTGCAGCGACGTGGGCTGTGCCGGGTTCCCTGAGACACACAGGGCCGGCCAGGTGGGAGGGGGCGGGAGACCCTGCTGCCCGCCTCCCGCCTGCCCCAGGGCTGTGCCCTGCAGGGCTGAGCAGAGCCGGGCCAGCTGCCGGGGTTGGGGCAGCCTCGGGGACAGGCAGAGGGGGTCGCCCGCCCGTCACTGGCCCCTTCCCTCTGCCTACGAGGAGGACACGAGGACACAGTGCCACTGTCCTCTCACCGTGGCCTCGTGTGGACCCCAGACCACAGATCTCTGCCCCCAGGGACTGCAAAGCCTGAGGCCACATCGCAGACGGAAAGGGACCATCGGGCAATCGTTCTGATGTCTCCTGCAGGAGAGTGGAGTGGTTTCCCCTTCCAGGAGCTGCATCCGAGCGGCCCGCCCATCTACAGGGAACCAGCTCGGAGTCAGGGCCGGAGCAAAACCCATGGCCAGCTGCCTTGTGCGTGACTGAGAATTGGCTTTGCACCGGCTTCCGGGGGACACACCCTCTGTGGCAAAGGCTCCTGGTGCAGGCGGGCACCACATGCCAACCTGGCTGAGAACCTCCCAGCCCCAGATTCCCTCCAGGGCCCCAATGAGGGCCAGGCACCCACTCCCAGCATTTCCACGACAGTTTGCTCTTCTTGGGTCAGTGTCCACTTACCACACCAGCGGCTGCCCAGGGCTGTGCTTGGCGGGGAGACACCCCACACCCCGCACGCGGGAGCCTGTGGACAGTTCCAGCCCTCAACAGACCTTTGGCCGCCTGGCCCACCCCGCCGAGCGTGTCCGTCACACTGGGATCAGTCCCCTCCGGGCCCTGACCTGTGCGGCAGGGACGGGAGCTGCTTCCCGTTTATGTCCTGAGCTGGTCTTCCTCAGCATGCAGTTAAGAATATAACTTCTGCAATGGTGTTACATGTACTCCGGTGTTTTATTCCTTTGGATATAACATACATGGAGTTGACCTTTTAAATCTCATCTCCAGATCTTTCATGAAAAGTTTACCAAGAAAAGAATTTAATTTTACACGTCGATATCCTCAATCTTGATGAGTTCAGGAAGGACAGATGAGAACCTCAAGGCTGCCAAACCATTCCCCGGAGATCCACTGGGGCTGAAAGCTCTCAGGCCTGCTTAGAACAGGTGCGGGCTGTCCCCGCCCTTCCTTCCTGCCAGGCCCTGCGGCCTCCACACCGGCCCCTCCGAGTAAACGGCCCCAGATCCACCCCGCCTGAAGCACATGCAGCCACCTACACCCCCAATTTCACAGCCCAGCAGAGGAGAGGGGACAGTTGCACAGAAGCTCACCAAGCTCCGTGAGCAAAAACAGAACACAGAAGCCCACCCGGCACAGACCAGCTCGGGAAATCCTCAATGACTCTAGCAAACCATCGGGAGATAGAACAATCGATCAGCCATCACAAATGGACTTTCACTGGTTTATCTTCTGATAATCCCATTTACCATTTTTGTTGGAGCGAGCATACGGGGTGAATCTGTTATGTGCCCGCTACGGCTGGAGCGATAGCACAGCGGTTGGGCGTTTGCCTTGCGCACGGCCGGCCTGGCCAACCCAGGTTCAATTCCTCTGCCCCTCTCACAGAGCCCAGCAAGCTACCGAGAGTATCTCGCCTGCCGGGCAGAGTCTGGCAAGCTCCCCGTGATGGATTTGATAGGCCAAACACAGTAACAAGTCTCACAATGGAGCAGTGCAGTGCTACAGTTGCCTGCTAGGGGGAAACTGGGCATATCAGTGGAAAGAATGTAACACCAGTGCCGGGGTTGGTGTTGGAAAACTGTACGCCTGAAACAACTGTATCAAGAACAACTTTGTAAATAATAGCACTAAAATAAAGATAAAAAAAAGAGAGAAAGAAGGAAGAAGGGGCCTATTCTTGTATTGCTGCACTCGGCACAACAGCCAGGAGATGGACCCAGGTGTCTGTCGACAGACGAGTGCATGATCCAAGTGTGGTGCAGGTACACAACGGAATACCATGCAGCCACAGGAAGGATGAACCCGTGCAATTTGCTGCCACTAGGGTGGAACGGAAGGAGACCGGGGTGGGTGAAGGAAGTCGGAAGGACAAACACAGGCTTGTCTCACCTATCTGCAGTGGCGCAGAGTATCAGGACGAGAGAACACAGGTCTTAAAGGGATGCTCGGGATTACCCGGCCCCAGATGACATAAGTGAGGAGGACAGGCACGGAAAGGTCTAGAAGGAAAGTGAGAAGGGGCAGTGGGGGGGAACGGGCAGGGTCGGGGCCTCTACACGGGGCGGTGCAGTGGGCAGAGCTCACCACGAGACCCCAGTGGCAATAACCAAACTTCAAAATGTGCCGTGAGGGAGCAGGTGGGCGGGAGAGAGGGTGGGCACTGTATGTGTGGGCGGGGGTCACGTAGCCATGGGAGGGCTCCGCCCTGGAACGTGTGTGCCGGAAGCTCAGCTGTGCAGATCTCTCCCTGGACAAAAAAGTTTTTGTGGCGTTTCTTCTTTGGATTATTGGGCCACACCCAGTCGTTCTCAGGGCTTTCTCGGCTCTGTGCTCAGGGAGTACTCCTGGCATGCTCGGGGAGCACTCCTGACACGCTCAGGGAGCACTCCTGACACGCTCGGGGAGGACTCCTGGCATGCTCAGGGAGCACTCCTGGCATGCTCAAGGGACCATCTTGGGGGCTGGGGATAGAACCTGGGCCGGCTGCATGCAGGGAGACCCCCTTCTTGCTCTCCTATTGCCCGGGCCCCTTTATCAGAAAGATTGTTTCACCAGCGCTTAGCTGGAGTTAGAATTCTCTCCACTAAATCAGGCTGCCTGCGGGTAAACCCTGTTTACTTCCCTCTGCCCACCGTCCTCACTTCCTGCCCAAAAGGCCCCGTAGGGCGGGCAGAGCCCAGAGCTGCATCTCAGGGGCAGAGGCGGCCCCTTGCCTGGCCACGGGTGCAAGTGGCGTCCACCTCCCGGTAAGGACAGGGCCGCCTCCTCTCACGAGGTCACACACCACCGCCCCGCCCCTGGGTTTGTGACTTGACCATGAAGCGCTTGGGCCGCTGGGGCACTCCCGGCCGCCCCTGCCTCCCCGACTGCATCTGCTGCCAATTCACTGTGGGACCATCGACCACACTGACAGCACGAGACCCCAGTGACAGAGCCAGACTCAAATCCCGTCTCTGCACTTCTGGGTGACCCTGACCCGGCCGGGACTATCAGCTTCTCCACACGCTACCGGATCCCACTGGCTAGCTGGTCTTTCGGAGGATTTTTTTTTCCATGCGTGAAAGTCTTGGACTTCGGTGCATCTTTCTCTGTGTCCCCTCCACGTGGCTGTCAGCGAGGAAGGGCTGCCTTTGTTTTTGTTTGTTTGTTTTGCTTTTTGGGTCACACCTGGCAATGCACAGGGGTCACTCCTGGCTCTACACTCAGGAATTATCCCTGGTGGTGCTCAGCAGACCATATGGGATGCTGGGAATCGAACCCGGGTCGGCCGCAAGCAAGGCAAACGCCCGCTGTGCTATCACCCCAGCCCCGGAAGGGCTGCCTTGGAGAACTGGGGAATGTTCCTACCCCCATGCTTTGAATGAATGTTAAAAGAATGAAATTAACTGTTCTTAATTATTCGGTGAATTCACCAACGATATCTGGGCCCAGATAACTTTATCTTTTTCTTTTCTTTTTTTTTAATTTTTGGGTCACACCTAGCAATGCACAGGGGTTCCTCCTGGCTCTGCACTCAGGAATCACTCCTGGCGGTGCTCAGGGGACCCTATGGGATGCTGGGAATCGAACCCGGGTCGGCCGCATGCAAGGCAGACGCCCTCCCCGCTGTGCTATCGCTCCAGCCCCTAGCTTTCGCTCTTATTATTAATTCAGTTCTGTATTGCAAGCGCCTTCAGAGTGTCGGTTTATTTTACAGTCAGTTTGAGCTGAGTCCTTCTGTTGAATTAACTCTTAATTCTCCACTTGTCAAGCTAATGTGCGTGCGGGGGAAACGCTGGTGTTGCATGTCAACTGGACAATCCGTCCTATCCTATGTTCCACATTCCAAGGGACAGGGCCCGCGGGTGAAAGTCACCCCCTGGAGTCACAATGTTGAAGAAGACTCAGCCTGAGGAGGGAGACGCTGAACCCAAGTTCGTTTCCCTTCTCACGCCTGCGTCTGAGGGAGCTGGTGTGACGGGCCGGGGAGGGGAGACAGTCCACACCCACCTCCTCAGTCCACGAGAGAGGGCGGGGTGTGCCCACTCTTACCCCACCCCTGACATTTCACCAGGCCTGGGCCAGCTGTGAGGAGGGGGAGGCAAAGGCGGGCACCACAAGAGCCAGCACTTTGGGAAACGGAAACCAGGAGAACACACGGGAAGCCAGGCTCGTGCTCTGCTGGAATACAGCTCTAAATATTTTAGGCCTGACACTGGTTTGTCCTTTCCCCCTGGCCACAAGGAGCTTAGGCTCCCTGAGTCACACCCATCACAATGCCCCCAAGTCTCTCCCGTTCCTTTGTTTATCTGTGACCACTTCTCTCTGCCCTCTTCCCCAACCAGTTAATCAGCTTCTCCCCCTAATCAGACTCTGTTAACCTGTAAGGTCAGATCCTTCTAGGACACTGAACTTGTAAGCTAATATTGCCTTTCTCCTCTCCTTCTGACTTTTGAATAGTTTACTTTAAAGCAATGTCCTTTTGTATGGACACAGGAAGACGGTTAATACTATGCTTTTGTAACTTAGTATTTTATTGGCTTCGAATATTATTCACTCCTGGGCATTTGCTATCTCGACTTAAGCCTCAGTTGCCCTTAGTTCCTAGCACCCCCAAAGCAGGGTCCCAACGAGGGACTGATTGGACCCAGAGCAAGCTGTGAGCTACCCTGGCAGTGAAATGGGCCAGGCCAAAGCACCACAATACTCAACTATAAGCTAAGAGCATGGTCATGGACAAATGCTGTCATGATCCAAAAGTAACGACGAGACTAGGACCCTGCTAGGGATAGAAAAGACTAATCTGGCCTGAGCACTGTAGTCTGAGATGGAGATGACCCCAGGAGAGCAATTCTATAAGCTTAATGTATCTCTTACTGTGTCCATACAAAATGGTTAGTACTATGAATGCTTATATGTTTGTTGGACAAGGAGAGGAGAAACACACCCATGGGATTCCGCCCTTGGGTGGGTCGTCCTGCTGGATGAGAATCTGTCCTAGAAGCGGCATGCCCTGAGGGGAAGAACTTCAACCCTATTGATTGTGACCACAGCTAGGTGTAATTATTACCCCAACCCCTCATGCTGGGGGATATAAAGAGACTGGAAGAATAGGCAAGGGGAGGCAGAGGAGAGAGACAGGAGTGAGTGGAGAGGAGAGTGGAATGAACTGCAACTGAGACCAACCAACCTGGCCCTCGGTCCTTCCTTCGCCTGCCCATTGCCATCGACCTCCCCGGGGTGGGGGAAGCAGCCCGAGACTACCGAATGTGGGCAGCGGGAGAGATAGAGCACTGCTGTGCTCTCTTTTTTTGTGACTGCACAGTGCTCTGGGCACTAACCCCCGCTTTGGACGGTCACCTCTGGAACAGAACCAGATGACTCCGGGGGCACGTCTATCTCACCCTAGAACGCTGGGAGCGGGGAGTCTGCACATGGCAGCCCTGCGAGAAGCCCTCGAGTCCACCTGACTTCACTGTTGGCAGGAGTGACCACAAGGACTGGGAAGGGTCAAGTCAGCTGTCCAGAAGTCCACACCTCTGACTGCTGCTGAGACACGAGCACTGCAAACGGGAGCCCTGAGCGACAGTGGCGGAACACCCCCAGGCTGAGGGACTGAGGAGGTGGGGGGCGGTCTTCAGGCAGGACCAATCTGCGGTTTCCTCGACCTGTGGTCCTCTGAAGGGGCAGCAACGCTCACACGGAGAGACCCTGGCCAACCAGCCTCACTTCGACAAAGACGAAAGCAGGGGACCGAAAGCAAAAGCCGTCTCGCGCTTAAGAGCCTGACCGGGACTGGGGACGTCTCATCGGATCTCGCAGCCTTTTCTGTACCTGAACATCTCGTCACCCTAAGAAGAAAGGGAAACTCACGGGGATTTTACACGGGAGGCTGCAGAAAGGCATGAAACGGGAGCAAAATATCTAGAGACCCCGGGAGTCAGAGCACACTTCAGCCGCTGGTAACGTTCATCTGGGAGAGGTACTCACCATTCGACGCCGTGAAGTCGATAGCCACCGTGAAGTTGATCTGTGTCCTAGGACAGAGTGGACGGGACAGTCGGCGGCCGTCCCCCGAGAGCTGCAGCCCCTGCTCTCCTCACTCCGCCCCGCCCCGAGCTCACTGACCTGGCAGCCCTCACAGACCGGTTTGCAGGGGTTGGTTTAAAACCCCGGGGAGGCAGGGACCGAGCCGTGGCCCGTGGCGTGGCCTGTGGGGCTAGCTCCTGCGCCCTCGAACCCGGGGAACAGGCCCAGTCGGCTCCCGCATCCGAGCAGGGCTGGGCCCGCGGGGTCGGCCATCCCCAAGAGGGGGAAAGGGCCGGTGAGCCAGGGAGGCATCCGCGTGTCAGAGGCACAGACGGGAGGGGGCCCTTGCCCCAGGGCCACACGCCTGCCCTCAGACCGGAGCTCCCGCCAGCACACGCGTGCCTAGAGGAAGCGCCACTTCCCACTCACCTCCAGGGGCTGCCGAGTCCTGAGTCAGGACGCCTGCACCGGCCCGGCCCACACAGCTTCTAACTCACCCTCACCAACCCCACAGTGCACACGGCCCCTCCAGCTTCTGCACACGGCCCCTCCAGCTGGGATGGCAGCCCTGGCTGCATGGCCCCAGCACATCCCTGGGGAATAATTCCTCACCCTCTTCCACCACGCCCGTGGGTCTCGCCTCCCCTGCTCTGGGTTCTGAGCGTCTTTCCCTGTCCCTGGAGTGGTGGCCCACACTGGGTCGGGCAGAACCACCTGGGCAGAGGATGGCCCGGCCCAGCCCAAGACGCAGAGCACCTTGGGGAGTCCCGTGGTGTCGGCTGGAGAGTGGGACGAACAGCCCCAGCCCCAAGTCAGCGGCCTCCACCCCAGCTGTGTGCATCCGCCTGGGTCTGGCCTCCCCGACCTGCCCCGACCCCTGCTCCCACGTGACCCCACTGCTGAGGGGGACACGGGGCATCCGTCAGCCCCCTCCCCATGAGGCCAGTGGGGGCGGCCGCTGTCCCACCAAGTTGGGGGACAGACAGGCCGGGGCCAGCCGCAACGTCCGATCTGTGCAGTCGGTGTTCAGAGGCGGGGCCGGGCGTGGGGTCAGCGCATCCTGACCTGGTGGCCTCCAGGTGTAGGGCGGCCACACCCCAAGCGTCTGACCTGCTGGCATCCCCGAGGTTGGGAGGGGGCCAGGGAGGACCGGGAAGGGCCCGGGATCCTCAGGAGGAGCTCAGAGCTCACCGTGACGCTCTCCACCCCCCGCAGAGAAGCTGCCCCGAGAGGAGCCCCTGGAAGACTGACCACTGCCACCAGCTCCGAGACACGAGAGCCGAAGCCTGGAGCCCGCGGGGGGCCCACCCAGCTGTGTGTCTGCCCTCTTCACACGGGCCATGTCCACGCTGATGCCCGGGGCTCGCTCTGACACAGTCTCCCCCCACCCCAGCTGCACCCTAGCTTCCGGCCACTCCCATCTGCCCTGGGCACCTCTGGGTGTCCCCGTGAGGAGCCAGGCCAGGGGTGCTCACACGGGGGCCCCAGAGCCAAGCATGGAGCACACACCCCCAGACGGCGGCCACACCGTCCCACCTCCCAGGAGCCCGTCTCTTCTCCACGGAGGCTGCATTTCTTTGCGTCACCTCGAGAAGCCAACAGTCTGCATGGCAAACTGGTTTCTGACTGAGAAAAGCAACCCAGCGTGGCGGCTGGAACTGAGGGACAGACGGTGACCCAGAGGGACGCAGGTCCCGCCCGGACAGGCCCCGCATGGGTGCTGGCCACGCCCCAAACAGGGACTTCTTGCTCACGCAGGACAATTCGCGGTCGGGCTTCCGGGAACCACGTGCTCCTGCTTAACCAAAAGTGACCACGGCGAGATTTTCACCTCGAGGAACGCCTGCTGCGCACCAAGTCCTGGCTGGCCTCGGGGCGGCTGCCCAGGTGCTGCTGGGAGCGGAATCCGCGCGCCTCTCCCGCGGGGACCGAGGCAGGAGCGCGGCAGCTGGACGCCAGGCGAGAGTCCACCAATGGCCGGCGGAGCCAGTGCAGAGCCAGGTCTCTCTTGGCCGGCTCGGGGCCGGGGCATCTGCCTTCACCCTCCACCACGGGGTCCTACCCGAGCCACATTCCCAGGCCTCTCCCTGCAGTCAGGGGCGAGCTGGGACCAGCTGACGGCTGCAGCAGCTCCGAACCCCGCCCCGCGCCCTCAGCCTGTCACTGCCTCTGGTCCGCCCACACACCCAGGAACAAGCCGCTGGCTCTGGGGAAGGTGGGGGCAAGAGGGAGGCTGGAGGCTTCAGGCAGGCGTCATTGCTGCCACTTGCGTTTTAAGGGGCGGGTGGCACCTCTTGGCTTGTCACTGAAGGCACAGCAGAATGCAGACCAGGCGGGCGGGAGAGGGCACGGGCTAAGGCGCTTGCCTGGCACCTCACGTGGTCCCCTGAGCCCCACCGGGGCTGATCCCTGAGCACTGCCAGGGGTGACCCTAACACACACACACGCATACATACACATGCACATATACACGCACACACACACGTACGTACACACACACACACACACACACACACACACACACACACACACACATCCCAGACTCTCCTGACACAGGACAGCAGGTCACAGAGGCACCAAACTGATGCTCCGCTAACAACAAGGGACCCACCAGCCAAGGACGCGGTCACTCCTTGCCAGTGCTGCAGACAGACCAGGGCGGCTCAGGAACCCTGGGAACTGCCTGGGGCTGAACCAGCCCAAGGCCTCTGAGACCAGGATCCCTGAGGAGCCCGGGACCCCGAGATGCAGAACTCCAGGTCCAGAGGGTGGCTGGACCCTGGGAGGAGCCCCCCACCCTGAACAAAGGCCACCCGGGAGTATCAGCTGCTCCAAGCTCTCCCTGATGGCAAACACCCAGATGTGAACCAACTTGGCACCGGAAAGGGAGGGTCTGCTCATCCCCTCAAGCATAGACCTTCTGTCCTGGGGCCACTTTACTTCATCATCTGTGATGTATGACTCACACACCTCACCCGTGGTAAGCCTCTCCACCTTGAGGATAGTCTCTCCTGCCCTCTCCTCCTCTCTCTCTCCCTCCCTCCTCCCCTTCCTCCCTCCCTCCTTCTCCCTCCCTCCCTTTCCCTTCTTCTCTCTCTCCCCCTCTCTCACCCTCCCTCTCCTCTCTCTCTCTCTATCTATCTATCTATCTCATAAGATTCAGGACTGACTTTCCTTCCCTGCTGAGAGTGGATCCTTGCTCTAGCCCTGGGCCATGGCAGGGGAGGGGAGGGGCAACTCTGGCTCCCCGGGGGTCTTCACAGCACCTAGTCCCACCTACTGCAAAGGCTCCCGAACTTCCCAGGCTCGCAGCCACCTTCTCGCTCACTCAGCAGCCTCAGGGCAAGCAGAAACACACCCCTGCACTTGGGGCTCGTACCAGCCCCCAGCCGCCCGGAATCACTCTGGGGAAGCTGCTCCTGAGGCCCATGGAGACCCCCGGCGTCACCACGCCCGGGACCCTCAGAACAGAGCAGACACTCCCTGGTGGAGATTCTGAAACGCTTTTCGCAGAGGAGCCTGTCAATCTTGGTCCGACAGCACAGGCCTCCAGGCCCAGGAGGAGATCGCCAGCCCCCGCAGGGAGACCAACAGCCCCCCCAACCCACTGAGGCCACCCCTGGGTCACTGCGAGTCTCAAGTCTCGCCTAGTCCAACTCCTAATTTCCCACCATGCAAAGACAGAACTGCACAGAGGCTGCGGTGGAGGTGAGGCCGGTGGAGGGGAGGCCGGGGCAAGCAAGCACCTCCCCCCGCCCCTCCCCCCCTCCCCGGTGAGGCTCTTCTGAGAGCAGCTGCCCCTTAAGCAGGAAGTTCCCTCTGGCTCCTTGTTTGGGCAACAGTTAAAGATGCCCACAGCCAGCTCTGTGTTCGGAACCACCCTGGCTCTGCTCAGAGCTGACTCCCAGCTCTGTGCTCAGGGCTCACTCCTGGCTCTGTGCTCAGGGTCAGAGGTGGGAGGGGGTCTCGGGTCTCCCATAAGAAAGGCAGCTGGGCTGCTGAGAAGTTTCTGGACCCTTCTCTGTGTCTATGCAGAAGGACCACAGACCCTGCTGGTCACAGCCGAGGGTCAGTGCCCGTATGGGGGTGGAGGACTCCTGGGTGCCCCTCCTGGGGGCCGGCTGGCCCCTCACGAACCGCAGAACAGGCCCATCCAGACATGCTTCTCTGGGACAAGTTCCCACTGGGAGCCCAGCAGTGACCCCAGCTCTGCAGGGCTGCTCCAAGCTCCTGCCTCAACATCTGCAAATATCACTGTATCACTGTTATCTCATTGTTCATCGGTTTGCTCGAGCGGGTGCCAGTAACATCTCCATCCGTCCCAGCCCTGAGATTTCAGCAGCCTCTCCTTACTCGTCTTTCCCAACGCTGCCACATTGGAGGCTCTTTCGGGGTCAGGGGAATAAAGCCCGATATTGTTACTGTTTCTGGCACATCAAATACTACACGGGGAGCTTGCCAGGCTCTGCAAATCACAGAAGCGAAAGTGCCCCTGAAGTCGCAGCCCCGGAGAGACGGATGAAGGCACCCTGGGGCTCACAGAGCTTCAGCGAGGGAGGACAGGGCAGAGAAGAGAAGTGATGACAAGCTCAGCTCTGATCTGCCGAGCCTGGCTGAGCCGGGCTGCCGTCCAGTGGGGCCTGGCCTGGGCCTGCCGCCCAGCAGGACGATATCAGGACTGACCGTCCCCCCATCAGCCCACACTCACCCGCCCTTGATGTAGTCCAGAAAGGAGACCTCGGTCTCGACCAGGAAGGACAGCAGGGTGACCTGGGGGAGGGAGGTGGGCCCGTTAGCCGAGACGCCCCCCGGAGGGCTTTCCCTGAGGGAGACCCGGTTTCCGGGCCGCAGGAGCTGTGTGTGTAAGGGGATGGGGGGGAGGGTTCTCCGTCGCCAGAGCATCTGCCCCCGCCTGGATTGCCGGAGGAGGCTCCAGGCAGAGAACTGGGGGGGGGGGGGGGGAGGGCGGGGGGCTGATGCCCATTTCACAGAAAAGGGGCTGGGCAGTCCAGCTGCCGACCAAAGCAGGGCCTGGAGAGCCCCCCAAGTCCAGCCCTCATGCAACCCTTCCTGCCAGGAGCTCCGAGGCCCCCAGCGGGCAGAGCCCATCTCTGCCGCCCCTGTAGGAGAGAGCAGGCCTGCCCCCGCCCAGGGACCACCCAGCCCTGTTCAGCAGGGCCCAGGAGCCTGCGGCAAGGGGCCTCTGTTCCCACGCCCACACCCTCGGGCCACCCACAGCCCCTCCCCCATCCCACCCTCGGCCCATCGACCCCAGAGCCCTCCCAGCCCCACGCGCCCGCCCAAGGCTCCAGCCGCCACCCACGGCTCCCCACCTCGGACCTGCTCCAAAAGCCGTCCTCATCTGAGCAGCAGACAGAGACTCAGTGACGCGGGAAGGAACAGCCCAGCCCATGGACTCACTGCTCCTGGACCACAGTGCTCAGGGCCTCTCTGGTCCTGGGCCTGGGTCACCATGCTCGGGCCCTGGCTTAGCGGGGGCCACACTCACCGTGCCTGAGTTCGTGTACTTCTTCTTCTTCCCCTTCTTCTTGGGATTCACCACCTGTGGGGAGCAGAGGAGACCCTGGAGTGGGCTCTGCCACTTTCACGGCCGTCCACTCCCCACCTGCCCTGCCGCCCGCGGGGGTCTTGGACGGTGCTCGGCAAGTCTGTCTGCCTCTGTCAGCAGCCATTTCCCCGGATGCCCAGGTCGCAGGGCTGCAGCTACGCTGGGGCGTGGGACGGTGGAGCAAGCACATGCCCAGGGGACGCTGCGATCAGGAGACCTCAGGAGGCATTGGGGTCCTGATCTGTGCTTGGGGGGGGGGCGGGGGGCGCATAGAGGCTGGGGGGTGGTGCACTGACAGGAAGGGTGTGGGAATATCGCATGCCTAAGATGCACCTATCGATAACTTTGTGAATCGCGGCCCTTTAATAACTTCAAAAATAAAAAGTTGGGGCTGGAGCAATAGCACAGCGGGGAGGGCGTTTGCCTTGCACACGGCCGACCTGGGTTCGATTCCCAGCATCCCCTAGGGCCCCCTGAGCACCGCCAGGAGTGATTCCTGAGTGCAGAGCCAGGAGGAACCCCTGTGCATCGCCGGGTGTGACCCAAAAAGAAAAATAAATAAATAAATAAAAGTCTCCTCGGCCAGACCCTTCCCAGCGTTCCCTGCTGCTGTGCCCTGGCCCCAGGCTCATCCGGGCTTGAGGACATGTGTGTGTTGGGGTCCCGGACGGTGGCTAACAGGGGAGAAAGGCACATCGAACGGGCTACAGTACCTTAAAGTGTGGTACTGACATATTTAAAAGCTGTTCTTCCGTTCTGTCTGATTTGGGCCACAACTGATGGTGCTTGGGGACATCGCCTGGTTCTGCACTTGGGGGTCACTCTGGAGGCGCTCAGGGGACCTTGTGGGCTGCTGGGATGGAACCTGGGTCAGGCTGCATCGGGGCGCGTGTCCGGCTCCTTGGGATCCATCGTCATGCGGGGAATGAGCTCCTGGGAGACGGCCTGGGACCCCCGACCCACAGTTCAGAGATGGCCGTGACACCAGCACCCGGCAGCTGCAGCAGTGACCAGCCTGGTCTGTGCTGCCGGAACCCGGGTCCAGCTGGCACCAAGGAGAGCTGGGGCGGGGGCGGGGGGGGGGCGTTCAACCCGACCAGAGAGGAGACACACACATAGGGCACAAAGGAGGGCAGGGAGAAAGAGGAAGGGCCGGGCCCACGGCGACGGCAAGAGAGGGTGGCTGCAGAGACCCCCTGCCCTCAGGAGACCCTCACGCACGCCTGCCTGAAGCCCCGAGAAGTGCTGGCCAGGACAAGCCCCAGCCCTGCCTGGCCTCAGTCCAGGGGGCAGAACTGCAGTAGCACCCACCCTGCTGCCCACAGGGGACCTGTCCCAGGGGCACGTCCAGGTTCCAGACAGCGCCCCCTGCTGGCTGGCAGAGGCCCTCACCGATTCCTCCGCAGTGGAAACTGAGGCAGATGCTATGGATACCCAACAGTCAGCGGTCAGTGTCACACCGCCCAGCCCCCAGGGGGCACAGGGGCAGGAAGGCCTCCAGCTCACCCAAGTCCAGCCGAACCTCAGTCCCGGGGGAGTCCCCACAGAGCAGGTGGGAACCCTGCATGCATAGCAGGGAAGGTGTCATCCTCCAGCACACACCCCGCACACACACACACACGGCACACCTGGACCCACACGGACCAGCTCCAAGGGGGACTTGAAATAGCCAGTGACTGATCCACAGAAACGGAGAGCCAGGAAGCGAAGGACAGAGCCAAAATGACACCAAACCAAGGAGAGGGAGAGGGCGAGAGAACACACACACACACACACACACACACGTACACACACACGCACACACATGCACACACACACGCACACACATGCACACACACACGCACACACATGCATGCACACACGCACACATATGAACGCACACATGCACACGCTTGAGCGCGCATGCGCGCGCGCACACACACACACACACACACACACACACACACACACACACACACACACCCCGGAAGGAATAAGGAAAACCAGGCAATAACAAAATGAGAAACTTCAGTAGAAACTAGAAACCCCTCGTGAAAGCACCAAGCAGGGTTCGGAGCTGGAGGTCTGGAGGGCCAGACTGGGGAGGGGGCGCAGGAAGTCGGCAAATAAATCCCAGGAGGCCGCCTGGCATCAGCCACGACAAGGAGCCAGGCTCGAGCGGGAGGGGAAGTGTGGAGAAGCCCCGAGCCGGCCGCCCTGCACCCGGCAGTCCTGGGAGAAGCAGGGCGGATGGACGCGTGTTAAAGATCGAGGTCAAGTAAGTGGAAAACACACACATGAACGTCTTGGCCGGGGGAGCTGAGGCTGCCCAGGCAGGGCCCCCGGGACACACTGGACACACGAGCACCAGGACAGCGGAAAGAGAGGCCCAGCCCGGCCCGGCCAGCGGGGGCCCGTGGAGCAGCCACGCAGAGGAAGGAGACGAGGCACACACAACCTCGGCAGGCGGGCCACAGGCTCAGAGCACACAGGGGCAGCCCAGCGCCCACCCGCAAGGGACATTCCCAGCTCCGGCATCCAGCAAACAGGCGCCGGAGATCAGGCGCGGGTTCCAACGGCCACAGGAACTGGCCGGTGCAGGAAGCAGCTGTGCAAAGTGGGACACCAGTGGCAGGGGCGTGGGAGGGGAGGGCGGAGTCTGGCACGAGGCTGACACTGGCACCAGCCTCACACTGACACATTCTCCAGTACATCCTCGGAACAGTCGCAGGGGCAGGCCCAGAGTGAGGCACCGAGCGGGAGAGGAGTAAGCGCCGCTGAGAGACAGCTCGGGAAGGAAGCAGAGAGGGGGAGAGAGGAAGAGAGCGGGAAGAGAGGAGGGAGAAAGGAAGAGAGAGGAAGAGAGAGGAAGAGAGCGGGCAGGACATGCCACGGCACTGCTCAGACCAGGCTGACACCGCCAGCCAGCAGAGTGGACAGACGCACGGGGCGAGGGAGGGACGGGCCCCTGCAGACAGGACCAGGAGGACAGGCTCACATGGCAGGGCTGTTGCGTCCCCTCGGCTCAGTGACAAACAGGCTCCCAGACACAGTCCCCCCTCCGGTGGTGCTCCCAGGTCCCGGCCAAGAGCAGCAGGTGGCAGAGAAGCTTCTCAAACCTCAGACCAATGGCACCATGAGGAGCCACAGAGGCCACGAGCGCTGTCCTGGGACCAGCCGCCGCCACGGTGAAGATTCCTCACGAACGCCCTGCCCACGTCCGCATTAACTCCTACTCCAACCCTGCCCATGCCTGCACTAGCCGGCCCTGCCCACGCCCCCACGAACTCCCTGTCCATGCCGGTGCTGGCGAAGCCTCCTGCCCGCACGAGCCCTCCTGTCAGGGCCTCAGCACCAGGCAGGGCCAGGCACTGCCAAGCACCGGCAGAGCCGCCATGAGTTCAAGGCTGCGCCTTCCCTGTGCCATGGGGCAGGCAGGGAGTGGACACTTTCGGGACACACTCGTGGTGGTCAGTGGCCCCTGTGGGCTGGGCGCAGAGCAGAGAGGCATCAGCACCCCAGACCGCGGGACCCTCTGCCTCTGACCGGTGGCCTGCAGGGGGCGGGCAGCAGGCAGCAAATGACCAACACAGAGATGGACATCAGCACCGAGGGCGGGAGGGACCGTGGCGGGCGGCCTTCGCCACAGGCTGCCACGTCTGCCTCCCGCCGGCTGACACACAGCCCAGACTGAGACCCGCCCGGGACGCAGACCCTCGTACCTCGTACACGTTGAACTGAGACTGTCCTCTGGAAAGTTCCCTGTAGCTAGTCGTAAATTCTCCAATGAAATCGTGACTGAAAGGGAGAACAAAACACACACTAACAGCTTTCCCGAATTCTCCTTTAGGCTTCGAAACTTTTTGGAAGCACGTGGTTTAAGCATGAAAAACCCAACACTACCCGCAAACTTAATAAGTGGCATTTTAAAAGACATTCTAAAAGACTTAATTTCATTATTCCATAACCCACAATGATGTATAATCGAAATTTATATCGTCGGTATTCAAATAACATTTCATTTTCCTTATCACGATCGTCAGTCATATTAATATTTTAAGCAGCTTTATTCATTTTAATAACTCACCTCCAAATTTTCATCTATGCTAATCAAATTATTGCCTATTGCATCTCAGCGAAGACACTCACATTCGCCGCTGCCACAGGAGGGACCAGAAACAAAGAGGACGTCCCCGAGAGGACAGGACGACCCCAGGTTGTCCCACTGACTCAGTTACCAGGGCCTGAATCTGGTCCCTGAGTGTCACCCCGAGTCTGGGGGCTGTGCTGTCCCGAGTGTCACCATGAGTCCTGCTGGGCGGGTCCCCCTGGCCCCACGCTGAGAGCCTGAACTCACTGACCATAAAGGCAGAGGACAGACTGTCCTCTGTCCAGCGTGGCCATGGCCCTGGTGCAGGGTGGGGTGTCCACGGGTCTGTGTCCCCGTCCTGCCTCCCACACCGTGGTCCAGTGGGGCAGCAGAGACCGGTGGGTCCCACTTGTGACCGGCACATGGACCCACGGTCCCCTCTGGTCTGGGGTCTGGGCAGTGAGCAGCACCTGTGTTCCCCCTGTGTCCACCAGCACCTCACGAGGATGAGGCCTGGGTCTCTCCAGGGGACCCCCCCACACCTAGACAAAGGGAGGGTTTGTCCACAGGCGGTGACCTGGTCAGTGGACACGGCCGGGCTCCGGATGTTTGGCTGAAGCCCCTGAAACAGGCACAGCGTCCCTCCGCCCGGGTGGCCGCCCACACACGCACACACGCCCCTGACCATCTCTCACGGCACCAGCCGGAGGAGAGGCGCTCGCTGTGCTTTAATATTTCATGTTCCCCGTGGCCAGCCCTGTAACAGCGGGACGGTCCCCGCTGGGGAGACGGGGAGGTGAGCTTGGCGATGCATCACCACCCACAATTTCCGCCTGATTCAATAAAGCTGTTCTGCTATTTCCCGTTAATTTCATTGTCACTGAAATAATTACCCCCCGGTCCCGGCCCCCGCTCTCCGAGTGCAATTACGAAACAAGGTTTGCGGCTGATGCGGTTAGAGTTCATCCGTCAGGATGCTCGGCCGTGCGGGGGAGCTGCCCCCCAGGGCCATCAGCATCTTGGGCCCTGTGGGGTGGGGGTGGGGGGGCGGGAAGCGGGGCCGGGGAGAGTACGCGGGGTCCTGGGTCGGAGCGTGAGCACTGCTAGGAGGGCCCTGAGCGAGGTGCCCACGGGGAAAACAAGGGACAAGCTCCCACGAGACTGCAGAGCTCTGGGTGTTCCCACGCGGGACCCCCGGCCACGAGGTGCTTGGCCAGCGCCCCTGGCTGGGCCGCCCCCTCCCCCCTGCAGCTAAGCCCCCCAACCCCCACCTCCACATTCTCAAGCCCCCCCCCAGTTCCCACAGGCACATGGCGCCGTTTATCCGGATTTAGGTGTGTCTGGGGCAGCTCTGCCCGCTGCAGAGGGCGCGTGCCTGGGCGTTCAGAGGGAACGGCCCTGGCAGGGCAGGGGTCAGCACCTGACAGCTAAGAGCTCGCACCCTGCCCGGGCGAGGTTCCCTGGCAGGCCGGAGTCCCGGGGTTAATTTCCTACCATGAACGCGTTAGAAAGTGAGCTGAGACCGAGTCTCTGCTCCGTGTGAAGGCCTGTGACACGCTGGCGTCACCTGTCGGACTCCGTCCCGCTAAGGAATGAACTCATTTCAGCTCGAACATCGTCTGAGACGGCGGGTCCGCATGACGGCCCCTCCACGCCCGCCCCTGGGCACAGAGCTGGCAGGGTAGGTGCCGGTCAGACTGACAGTCGTCAATCACTCAGACCAGCGCTGCGGCAACACCGGCCGCAGGAGGGAACGACCCGGCAGGCCGATATTCTCAGGTAGACGGGGCTCTCCCTCCCTCCGGCCTCTTCCTTCTTCCTCCTTGGGGCCCGTGGCCAAGGCAACGATGCCAAGGGGAGGCCTCTCGGACAGCCCTCACCGCAGCTGTGTCGGGGACTCGGAATGTTCCGGCTCCTGCTGAGAGTGATTAGGCCTGAGGAGAATTTGCTTCTCCTCTCAGCGGGCCCGGCCCTGTCAGGGCGACACTTCACTGATCCACCGGCGGATAATGACCTCCGCGGGGTGGGCCTCGCTTAACAGTGATCAAGTCTGGGCCTCGGGGGCTCGAGTCATCAAGGCAATCCTCAGATTTAACAGGAAGCACGGGGGAGACTGACAGGAGTGACCCAGGGTACGAGCGTCTCCTTCTGTCACACGCACAGACACACTCACACAGACACTCTCACACATACTGTCTCTCACACACACTATAATATATACTCCATAGACACACACACACTCATCTACAGACTCCTCCATACACACACTTACACTCTCATACCCACAACTCCTTTCACGCACACACAACACTCTCATGTACACTCCATACACACTCCTACACACCACACACAATTGTGCACAGACTCTCACACAGTCATATATACACACATTCGCCCTTTAAAATGCACACACGTTCTCTCTCACACACTCTCGACACACTCTCCTGGGGATACTGTCACTCAGGCGTGGACACACACTTAACATACAGTCACACAGACTCTCTTTCATACACTTACACACACCCTCATGCACATGCTCTCGGCCTCACACTGTCCCAAACACACTCCCATCCACTCTGTTCACACACACTCACACACACACTCTGACACACCCCTGCACACACCTCCCGGCCGGCAGCAGCAAACAGGGCCTGGCACGCAGCGCCCCGGTGGCCCCCGAGCAGGAAGGTGGGCGCACAGACGCCATCACGCAGCCCGGGGCCTCCGCCGGGCACCGGCGCGCAGAGAGAGACGGGGCGCGGCACCCGCAGGGGAGGTGCGGGGAGGCCAGGGCCACCGCTTGGGTCATTTTCTTCCAAATCTCACTGACAGTGAGAGAGGGCCTGAGGGAGGCAGGGGGAAGGCACTCGCCCTACACATGGCCAAACCTGGTTCCATCCCTGGCTCCACATACGGCCCCCAGCACCTCCAGGAGCGACCCCTGAGCACAGCGGGAGTGACCCCTGAGTAGGGAGACAGGATCGAGCCTGTGCCAGCCAGATGTGGCCCAAACCAACCCCCCCCCCCCCACACACACACACACACAAGTCTTTTCTCCTGGAAATACGTATCTCGGTGGACCCAAAATCATTCCAGGAAATGAAGGCGCAGCCGTGGGCCTATGGGACAGAGAGAGACACACCCGTGCTCTACCAGATGGAGAGAGGGGCACCCGTGGGCCTACGGAACAGAGAGGGGCACCCGCACCCAGGCATAGCCCAGCCTGTAAGGAGGCTCCAGCCGCAGGTCAGGTCACCTGCGCAAGGTGGATGTGCCCTGCAGGCGAGAGACAGGACCAGGCGGCCGGAACCACCCAGACAAAAGCAGTGAGGGGCGGTCAGCCACCCAACTGGGCCCCCGGACAGACTCGGGCACGGGTGGGCACAGCGGCTCCAGGCCTCCCAGCGGCTCTCACGGGCGGCGGGTGCAACTCGGCCGCCGTGTCAGGGAAGGCGTCCCCGGCTCTGCGTGCGGGAGCCCCGCGCCCGTCCCCGCAACACAGTCCCGAGCACCCGGGAGTGAGCACCAGCAGGTGGGCACCCAGGCCAGAAGCCTGAAGTGGACTCTGCCGAGGTTCCAGGATGCCGGGGGCGGGGCCTGGGACGCTTCAGGGCTGATGAGACCCCGAGACCACCATGTTCTGGGCTGAGGACAAAGCACGGGTCAGGGTGAGGGTCTTCCTCTGCTCTCATCGCCAAGGGGGGTGCGAAGGCTCCCAACTCCAGGAACACTCGAGAGCGAGTGGCCGGTCAGGGAAGTCCTGGGGCGCCCCAGGGCTGGACCCGAGCGCAGTCTCAGGGGGCAGATCCCTCATGGACCCCGGCTCTCGGATCACACCCGGATCCCGCGCCCCAGCTCAGCTCAGACCACCCGGAGCCCAGCATCCGCGTCAGAGGCCGCCCCCCCCCCCCGCCATCCATCTTACCTCCCATCCCGGTCCCAGTCGAAGACCTCCACCTTGATGGTTCTGGCAGGAAAGAGAAGGGGAGGGGGGCATGGTTGGGGCAGAGGCCTGAGACCCTCCGGAGACCCAGACGCTGTGGGTGTCTACACTGAGACCAGGGCCTGTGGGGTCTACACTGAGACCAGACACTCGGGGTCTACACTGAGACCCAGGCCTTGCGAGGTCTACACTGAGACCAGGCCCTGTGGGGGTCTACACTGAGATCCAGACCCCTGTCCTGGGTGTTCTCAGCTCCAAGGTCCTGGAAGCTGACTTTGCTGCTCTGACAACTCTGGTCTTGGAGAAGGTTCTAGAACCTGCAGGACCCTTGCGGGGATGAGTGGTCTTGGGAGATGCACCCTGGTTCCCTGCTGGCTTCCCTGGGTACAGATGAGGACTCCCCTCGAGACCCGGACCCCCAGGTGAGGAGGGGGCGAGTCGTGATGCCCACTGCCCCTTGCGTCCACGCTGCTGCTGACCGGCACCAGCAGCCTCGGGGTCCGAGGGGGCTCAGGCCAGAGGAGTTTCTTACTCAACATCGCGCAAGTCGTGGCACTCTAAAGTGACTAATAATTTCCCTGGTCAACAGCTCCTTCTCCAGTGGAATAAATTCCCATTTTTCCAACATACAAGTAACAAAATTCTTTTTTCTAATTCCCAGAGTCTGGATTTTTACTTTCTACTGTGATCTCTTTGAGGTAACGAAGCATTTCTGTATTTTCACCCAGCAGAAAGGCAGGCGCCCTGACAGCTCCCAGGGGCACCAACCAGTGGCCCCGGCAGCTGTGTCTGCAGGGGCAGGCGGGCAGCCCCAGTGCCTGGCTTGTGCCATCCTGCCGGGTCCCCAGGGGCCTCAGAGCTCACAAACTCGTGAAGTGGTCTCAGCACACTGCACACTCGTCCTGGAAAAATCAGTTCAAGCAAAGTCAGCCTGTCCCTCTTCCTGAGTCGCCCTGGCTCCTTCAACCTTCCGTGGGAGGGCTCGGCTGTCCACCGACGGCTTCTGGTCCACCCGGTGGCAACACCCGCACCCATGGCCCCGGGAGGACACTGGCACTGACCTGTCGTGGTCCCCATTGCAAAGCGCCCGCACTGAGAGCTTGAAGGCTTGCCACACGGGGTTCAGCGTGTTCTTCACCACCTCTGTCTTGTGACAGATAGTAAAGCTGGAACGGGACAAAAGAAAGAGGCTCAGACTATGTTCAAGGCTCACTTGTGGTCTGCAGTTCTCTGTTAGCAGCTGTCCTCTGCTCTGCAGAATAAACGCTGCTGGGCTGGGACCGCTGGATCATTTCATAGTTTGGAAGATCTGCCGCCAGGTACCAAGCAATGAGACTGTGTAACTAACTGACCAAAAACATCTTCAATTTAAGCTCCTTAAAGTCCAAGTGCAGGGAGGAGGGTGAGCGGGTGCTAGGGGGTGGGGCAGAGCCAGACCCCGGGCCGCTGAGAACTGCACGGCGAGGAGCAACTTGGAGCGTCCCAACCAGGAAGGGCGCAGGTGGCAGCAAAGACCCAGCACAGAGGCACAGGAAACACCAGACTCATGTCCTGAGGCAGAGGAGGTCGCTGGGACACCCTGGAGGGACACACTTGGAGGAGGGGACCCTGGGGAGTACAGCAGCACTGTGGTGTGTACAGTACTTCAGACCTCCCACATGGAGGTCAGTGTGCATGTGGGGAAGGTCAGCGTGCACGTGGGAAAGGTCAGCATGCACGTGGGGAAGGTCAGTGTGCACGTGAGGAAGGTCAGTGTGCACGTGGGGAAGGTCAGCGTGCACGTGGGGAAGGTCAGCGTGCACATGGGGAAGGTCAGTGTGCACGTGGGGAAGGTCAGCGTGCACATGGGGAAGGTGAGTGTGCATGCGGGGAAGGTGAGTGTGCACGTGGGAAAGGTCAGCGTGCACGTGGGGAAGGTCAGTGTGCACGTGGGGAAGGTCAGCGTGCACGTGGGAAAGGTCAGCGTGCACGTGGGGAAGGTCAGCGTGCACGTGGGAAAGGTCAGCATGCACGTGGGGAAGGTCAGTGTGCACGTGAGGAAGGTCAGTGTGCACGTGGGGAAGGTCAGCGTGCACGTGGGGAAGGTCAGCGTGCATGTGGGGAAAGTCAGTGTGCACGTGGGGAAGGTCAGCGTGCACATGGGGAAGGTCAGTGTGCACGTGGGGAAGGTCAGCGTGCACATGGGGAAGGTCAGTGTGCACGTGGGGAAGGTCAGCGTGCACATGGGGAAGGTGAGTGTGCATGCGGGGAAGGTGAGTGTGCACGTGGGAAAGGTCAGCGTGCACGTGGGGAAGGTCAGTGTGCACGTGGGGAAGGTCAGCGTGCACGTGGGAAAGGTCAGCGTGCACGTGGGGAAGGTCAGCGTGCACGTGGGGAAGGTCAACGTGCACGTGGGGAAGGTCAGCGTGCACGTGGGGAAGGTCAGCGTGCACGTGGGGAAGGTCAGCGTGCACGTGGGGAAGGTGAGTGTGCATGCGGGGAAGGTCAGCGTGCACGTGGGGAAGGTGAATGTGCATGCGGGGAAGGTCAGTGTGCACGTGGGGAAGGTGAGTGTGCATGCAGGGAAGGTCAGTGTGCACGTAGGGAAGGTCAGCATGCACGTGGGGAAGGTCAGCGTGCACATGGGGAAAGTCAGCGTGCACACGGGGAAGGTCAGCGTGCACGCAGGGAAGGTGAGCGTGCACGCGGGGAAGGTCAGCATGCACATGGGAAGGTCAGTGGTCATGTGGGGAAGGTCAGGGGACCCTATGTGGTGCTGGGGATCCACCTCGGGCCGGCTGCACACAAGGCAAGCACCCTCCCTGCTGTGCCATCTTCCACCTGATCACCGTGCTTCTATATGACTCATCATCGAGCTCTCAACAACACCGGGGGAGAATCCTGATTACGAGCCTCTACCCGATGGGAAACTGAGTCTCACGTGGTCACAAGACTTCCCAAAGCCCCACAGAAATCAGGCAGCGGGATAAGGACTCATGCGCACACACAGCCCACGGCGCTGCTTTCTGACATGACCAACTAAATACAAACTAGAAAATCACGAGCTAAATATCCCATGGCAACCACATGTGTTCAAGTACCTACAGCAAGCCACGGAAACAGGTTTAAATCACACAGAAACCACTCTCGTGGCAAATCTTAAAATTACCAGAGTAGAGTGGGAAACGTTAACCCGTGGAAGACGGGGATGTTAGTGGGAAGTGTCACGGCATCAAGAGCTGCCCTGAAAATCGCTCCAAAGAACAGTCCAGCTGGTCCAAATATGCTTGTTTCATCACCGAGATTTCCACAAAGATATAACTCTTCGGTAGCAGTAAGATAACACGATCTTACCAGCAGCAGAGATGAAGCATTCCATGAAGACGAGAGCATTTTCCTTTTCGAGTGAACCGGAATGTTGATAAGCTAAGCACTGTTACCGAGCAGCTGGAATCCTTAGTGATGCAAACTCACATCAATTTTTAAAACACTAAAACTGGGCTCTGTTTATAAATGTAATGGCCTTTGAAAAAAACGTTCCTTGCCACAGAGTTAAAATGCACGAGAGACAAATGTACCTGCCGTCTTCATTACTCCGGTAAAATACGAGAAAAGGGTCTGATTTCCCAAAGAAGTCCTTTTTGTCCAGTTTGTTTGCACAAAATTGCATTAGAACAGCATCCTAGAGACAGGATTAATAAAACAGCTCAAAACCTGGGTCATAAAGAACCAGACACGACAGTTTATAAGCAAGACTCCACAGGAAAACAAGTTTTCCATTTTAATGCCCATGGCCAAGTGTTCCGGAGCCCAGACGGCCTAACCTGGCTCCGGGGGACCTTGGGGGGCTCGGCCACTGTCTGGGCCCTGAACTGCCACCTCCGGCCTCCCCAGGGCTGCCGTGCAGACAGGCCATGCACCCGGGCGCGCGAACAAGATGTCCTCGTCCAAACTCACATTTCAGACATGCACCTTTCTCAGTTCCTCAGGGGACTGACCCCTGGAGAGAGCAGTCACACCTCAAAGCCAGCACCTCCCACCAGGAGAAGCTGACCGGGCGGGGCGGCAGGGGTCCTGCTCATCACACACGAGCGCACACATGGGCTCAGCGACTGACTCATTTTACCCATCTCTTGGGGTGGGGGGATAGTACACCCAGCAGTGCTCAGGAGTCCCCGGGGCCCTAGATTCCACCAATCCCACAGAGACCCCACGGAGGCAGTGTGCAGGAACCGGGGGCCACCGGTGATGCCCTAGGGGTCCCTGAGCTGGGGCTGCCCGCGCGCCAGGGGGGTGCCTTCACCCTGCACCATCTCGGCGGCTCCCTGTCTCAAACGAGTCCCCCAGGCCAGCTTCAAGACAGCGGGGCCCCTCACAAGCCCTGTAGGTTGCGCCCCACGTGTCCAAGGATGTGGAGGCCCCCCTTTCCCAGCAGGGGTCCCGGCTGGCACCCCAAATGGAGCTCCCCTGGGAGCTCACATGGGCGGCCCCAGTGAAGCCACTCAAGGCTGAGAAGGTGCAGACACTGGGTACCCGGAACCAGCAGCGCCACGCTAGCCTGCGCCCTCGCCTGGGGGGTGGGGGGGGGCTGGGGTCCCGTGTCAGCCCTCTCCAGCGCCTGTTACAATGAGAACGGAGGGTTTCCGTTCTGAACTGGGACCAGCCCGAGCAGAGCCACAGCTAGAGTCAGAACACGGGCGCGCAGAGAGGCAGGAAACCTCTGGTCCAGAGTGACAGGCGGGCCCACAGCCCCCCGGAAGTGCTCACAGAGGGCGCGTGGGCTGAGGAGAGACTGAATGGGTCCAGCCTCCGAAAGCCGCTGCTCAGACAAAGTTCCCAGAACCCACAATGACATTTGATGGGCTACAGATTACATAAAGCCCTGGTTTAATTATTTTTGCACGATTATTTCATAATGATTTTAGTTTCAAAAATACCGTTTCACAGAAGTGTCAGAATTGCTTTTTCAAACCCAAGAAACATTTACTTACTCTGCAACAGTTCAACTCCTCAGCTGTAAGGATGATGGTGCCACATTTCTTCCCTGGAATTCCCCTAAAACAATAAAAAGCACATTTGTGTGCACGAACGTTGGATAGTAGCTCTGATATGTAAACTCGAACTGTGCATTTAATATCATCAATCAACGAGCAATGATGCGTGGAGAGGTTCTTTCCCAACAAAAGCACCCCCAGTTCACTTAATCACTTCACTTAACTTCCCGTTAGTCGGCGATTTGCTCGAGCGGGCGCCAGTAACGTCTCCATTTGTCCCTGTCGTGTGCTAGTGCAATGGCATCTGTTCGCTCCGGGAACATGAAGGGCCTCAAACCGATCGTTCATGATCTTGACCATCTGGTAGGTGGGCGACCACGTGGTCTTTTGACATCCCGTGGAATCCCCCAGTTACAACCTCCAAAAACACACTCCCAGTTTCAACCTGGACCCGATCCTCTAGACCAGACGTCGCCAGAATTACCTGGCCGCACCTGCTCTCAGGGCCCCTGGAAACCTGCCTTCTTATGCAGCAGGAAGAGCACCTCCCAGGGGTCTCCCTGCAGCCCCCCCCACCGCCATCACTCCAGAACCCTCAAGTGCCGCCCCTGTAGGGACACTCATTTCTCCACAATCCTGACCAGCAATGCTGAATCTGGGTGAGGACAAAGCTGAGCTCCAGGCGACACTACACACAGGATGTGCTAACGGTTCTACGTCTCTGGGTCCATTCCTGCCCGGATCATGGCAGCCCTCACGTGTTTCTCCTGACTCGCCTTCCTGCCCACAGTGTTGGCTGCTGCTTCCTCCAGCCCAACAGTCGCCCCAGCTGCTGAATTTGCAGGGAACCCTGGCCCTGAACCCACAAGGGGACTGTTCACTACCCTCTGTGTGTGGTCACCTGCAGGCCAGCACTCAGTGCCCCCTGTACCCAGGGGGAAAACCCATCATCCCTGTGTGTGACCACCTGCAGGCCACCCTCCGACCCCCGCATCTTCCAGAAACACCCGCTCATCCTCCATATGCTCCCCCATGCTCCAGAGACCCTCCCCATGCTGGGCTGTAAGTACACCTGTAGCTTAGGCTGGGTCATAAGTATAACTGTAACTGTAGCTGGGTTATAGCTGTAACTGTAACTGAGCTATGAGTATAGCTGCAACAGTAGCTGGGCTGTACGTACAGCAGTAACTGTAGCTGGGTTACAAGTATAACTGTAGGTGAGCTGTAGGTATAGCTGTGACAGTAGGTGGGCCTAACTGGCAGCTGGACCATAAGTATATCTGTAACTGTAGCTGGTTCTTAAGTATAACTGTAACTGTAGCTGGGCTGTAAGTATAACTAAGTAGCAGAGCTGAGTGTAACTGTGAGTGTCCTGAAGCTGAGCTGTGAATAGGACTCTACCTGAAGATTTCAGTGCGGCTGTAGACATGGGTGTAACTGTAACTGTGAGCGTAAGTAAGTGCGGCTCTATTTATGGCTGCAACTGTGACTGTGAGCTTAAGTGTGTCTGTAGCCATGGCTGTCGCTGAGCTGTAAGTGTTGCTATAGATGTACTGTCATTGTGACTAAAACTGAGCTGTCAGTGTGACTATAGCTATAATCGTGACTGTTAAGTGCCACTGGGACTTTCACCGAGTCCCGAGAGCGGCTGTGTCTGAGCTTCACGATGCAACAGCCCAGGGACCCAAGCAAAAGCGCAGCAGGTGGGCAATGTCCTTGCACGTGGAAGACCCGGGCTCAATCCCCAGCACCCACTTGGTTCCCACAGCCGCCGGCAGTGATCCCTGAGCATAGGGCCGGGAGGAAGCCCTGAGTACCCCTGGGTGTGGCCCCCAAAGAAAGATGTAATCGCCCAAACCTGGAAGCCGCCACACTGCCCTTCTCAGGCCCCAAGCCCACGGCCCAGATGTTTGTGGGGAGACGATTGGCAGGACTTGACCTTTACTTGATATTCACTCGCCAGGAGGGGCCTCGACAGTGATGGCAGGGAACTCAGTCAGCTTCTGACCAGCCTCTCGCCCCCCAGACCCCTGTTCTTAGCACCCACACGTCCATTTCTGGGTCTTTCCTGTCTCTCTGCAAATCGCAGATGACAATGGCCACATCCCATGAACCGATCAGAGGGACAATAGGTGAGAACCTCCCCACAAAGAAAGACCAAACGGTTTCACTGCATTCCCAAACACGGATATGATTAAAATCAATGTTCCAAAAACTCTTCCCATAAAGTCACGAGGAAGGAATTCTCTCACATTCATCCTGTGAGCTTGGCATCACTCTGACGTGAGCCAAAGTCTCTACAAGAAAACGACAGATTAAAATCCTCAACGAGCGTCGATGTGATCATCCTGCACTGCACCTGCAAACAGCCCCAGCACGGTGAGAGCACGGCCCGGGGGGCTTCTCCAGCACAGCACAACAGACCCCTTACAAAAGCCCATCACCAAGGACAAAGGACAAGACCCATGCGCTCGTCCCGTCTAAGGCATCTGACAACACCTGACACCCTTCTGTGAGTGAAAACACGAACAATCCAGGAATGGAAGGGAACGGCCCAACTGGTACCTCCACACACGGAGAACCAGAGCAAACGGTTGTATCGGTGGGGACTGGAGTTCTCCTGTGACCCTCAGCAAGGCACAGTGTCGGTTCTGCCACTTCTACTCAACCCCAAGTCGGAGAAAGAGCTAAGAGGCATCTAACTAGGCAGAAGGGAGGCACCCAGCAAACTGTTCCGATTTGCAAACATGCAAGAGGTCCTCAGACTCCCGGGGTGGGAGTTATCCCCGGTGACGCAAGCAGGCGGGAGCGAGGCCCCAGGCGAGGTCCCTGGAGTCCCTGAGATCGTCCGAGAGCAGGAGGGAAGGGAGACAGTTGCTTCCAGGGACATGGGAGACGCCCACAGCGCTGCTGTCCCGGAGACGGGAAGGAAGCACAGCAGTGACGCCGCCTGAGGAGAATGGACTGAGGAGAGCCAAGCAGCCCCCCCCCCCCCCCACCGGCTCCAGCGCTGAGGGCCTGGAATGTCTGTGCAGGGCCCTGTCTAGTGAGAATCCACCCGCACCCGCTCCTCAGGGCCACCTCAGCCCAGCTACCAACACAGTCACAGAGGCAAACACACACAGCCACACACGTGCACACACGCATGCTCCTGTATGTGCACATAAATGCAGACATGCGTGGTACACGTGGCACGCGTGCATATGTATATGCATGTAACAACACAAGTCTGCAGCACAGGCATACACATGTATGCATAACACATGCGTGCAGAGGTGCGTGTACTGCAGACACCAGCTGTGGGCCCCGCCTGTGAGCATGCTGGGACGGGAGCAGACCCCCGGAGGCCAGGGGCAGCGGGACACAGTTAGTGCTCTTCTCCCGTCCCTCTCCTGGCCGCCTGCATAGCCCTGGCCCAGCTGGCCTCAGGCAGACACAAGGCAGAGGGTCTTGCACCCCAGGAAGCCTCCACGGGCCCCAGGACTGTCCTCAGCCTAGGGGCACACGGGTGGCAGAGATGGCTGCGGGCATGGGCACAGCCCTCACTGGGAGTGGGTGGCTCCACAGCCGAGCTCGGGGGTCTCCGGAGAGCGTGCTCCCAGCACAGACGCTCAGAGCAACAGTTCCTCTGCCGGGAGAATGCCCGGTGCTCCCGCAGCCTCGGAGCCAGGATCAGAGCCAGGCCCTCGGCTGAGACTCAGTCTCCCCGCCTGAAGGGGGCTGGAGGGGCCCAGAGAAGTGGCCACAAGGTCTAGGCACAGATGGCCTCCCTGGCGGGCTGAGGGTTCAGAGCAGAGGTGGCCGCAGGGCCCAGTGCCCACTGTAGCAGGTGTGCCCACACCAGGCCCTGGGCGTGCAGGGTCGGCGGGGGGGGGGGGGGGAGGGGCAGGGGCGAGGGAACCTGCAGCCCCCCCCTCCCTCGTCCCAGGGGCAGGGGGCTCAGGGGCCGCCAGAAGCTCCTCTAGTGGGACCGTTGTTCTCCTCACACGTGCCCGGCCTGGGCGGCTCCAGCATCCGTGCGACCGGGGCTCGTTTCCGTGTGCAGGAAAACCACTAACATTTACTCGTGGCCACGTGATCTCACAAATCCAAAAACGTTTGAATGTTGGCTGATTTTTACCTCTAGGTTATATTTTGCAGTTGCCTGGGAATTCTGATTCCAGTGCTGTAAAAATTCAGAATGTTTCCAACAGAATAACAAGCCAGTGAAAAAGCTCTGATTGTTCCGCTCTACGCTGAGAATAGACAGAATAATTTTAATATTTATATATGGTGAATGATTTACATAAATGTAATCAAGTTTGGTTCAAAATTGCCCTTTATCTAAGCTTGCTGAATTCCTAAACAGCTCTCTAAGGAAACTTTAAAGAAAAAAGGAAGGAAGGAAGGAAGGAAGGAAGGAAGGAAGGAAAGAGAGGGAGATGGGGTGATTTCAGAGGTCTCTTAGGAAAAAGGTCCTGGCTACCTTGACAAACGTTTACGCATTTGAGAGCCTCCGTTTGTGTGTGATGCTACGGCCAGTGGCGGGTGCAGTTACTTGTCTGGCAACCATCATCTTTTGAAAAGGATATTATTCCAACGTTTCTAATGAGGACTTCGGAGTCGGGAATTGAAAAGCCTCAGTTCAAGTGATGCTCCAACACACTGCGGCAGGCCCGGCCTGCCCGAGCCCCGAGTTCTCAGCGTGGCTGTTCATGATCTCAGGAGGACAAATGTGAGCATGAACCTGAGACGCAGACAGGAGCTCAGCAGAGACAGACACGCCCGGTGCGCCGACCACAGCCCAGAGCGAGGGGCCAGACCCCAGGTCTTCAGGAGACCCTGAAACTCCCTGATGGTGTGACTGCTCCGGGCCGTGTGCTCCGCATGCTCACACTCACACTCACACACACTCACATGCACAAGTGCACACACGGACATTTACACGCGTGCACATCCAGGCTCACACACTCACATACATTCGCACGTACACACTTTTACTCACACACATTCACACACGTGCTTATACATACACAATGTATTTTCGCATGTGCACTCACATGTACACTCCCACGCATGCACCCATATTTGCACACAAGCACTCACACGCACATTTGCACACATGCATTCACATACATGTGCATGCATGCTAACATTTGCACACACACCTGCACACATGCGCACTCTCGCGCAGTCCCGTGCACTTGCTGGGACCTGCCATGGTGGCAGAGGCTGGCCCGCCCTCCAGCCCTGCTGTCTGGGCCTTCCCATGACCTTTTCTGGTGCCCCAGGGGTGCCCTTCTTGAGTCCTGAGTCTGAGAGGGACCCGGGTCCAGGCCTCAGCTGCCCCCACCCTGCTGCCCAATCACAGCTGCAGGACCAGACCCAGCAGCAGTCAGGACAGAAGGTTCTGCTTCGGGCCCGGTTCCATCCGGGAGACCCTGCTCTGACGGCCCAGAGAGGGCGGGCAGCTCCCCAACCCTGAAGGTGCCCCTGGCGCTTTGGCAGGAGAGTGGGGGTGCATCTTCACACCCCGCCAACAGGGGGCGCTGTGCAACGGCAGAAGCTGGACTCCTTGGGAGACAAGGACGGGGACACAGACCCAGTTAAGGAGGACAGGGGTCACTGTGAGTGGCGGGAGGGGTGGGGCAAAGCAGGCATACAAGGAACGTGTTTGCCCCAAACTGGGACAGCCCAACAGCTGACAACGGTGGCCCCAGAGCTGCTACTAAGAGGCCGAGTTAAAGATGCGTCCAGGGCTGGAGCAATAGCACAGCGGGTAGGTTGTTCGCCTTGCACGCAGCCCACCCGGGTTCGATTCCCAGCATCCCATAGGGTCCCCCGAACACTGCCAGGAGTAGTTCCTGAGTGCAGAGCCAGGAGTAACCCCTGTGCGTCACCAGGCATGATCCAAAAAGCAGAAAGAAAAAAAAAAGATGTGTCTGTCTCTGCCACTCTGTCCTCAGACGCTCAGCTGAGTCTCCACAGAAGAGGAGAAACAAATCATTTCCATCCTCGTCTACTTTCCAAAGTGAGAACAGCAACAACATCCCAGAACATGAAAAGATGAGACGGACCTCAAGTCCCTGTGACAGAGGCAGTGTGAGGGACCAATCCACGGGGTCCTCTGCAATAAGCCGGGGGCACATCGGGCAGCTGTGTAGCTGCGCCCACGAGATCAGGTGCCAGAGAAGCCCTCGGGCCGCTCGAGAGAGCCAAGGCGCAGAAGGAAGATGACACAAGACCCTTGAGAGCTTCTTGGAAGACAGGGCACAGCAGGTGGGAGAGATGGAGCTGGAGCCCGGGTCCTGGCTGCGACCCTGAGAAGCCCCCCAAGGAGGGACACGGCAGGTGGGCACTGGGCAGCAAGGAGGGCCCTAAGGAGTGGGGCCAGGGCCAGGGTGGGAAGGAGCCTGGGGTTGACCCCACAGCTCACAGGAACTGCTGCTTCTGCTCTGGCAGACTGTGTGTGACATAGAGGAAGCCCAAGCTGCAGTGACCCCAGGACACTGCAAGCCGTACAGGGGCTGGCGCACGCTCCAGCCAGGAAAATACTCACAAGATGGGCTTCTCCAGGCGACTGCCCTGGGAACCGACGATCTCCCCCAAGGTGCAGAACACTTGTCCCAGGAAGTCCTAAACAGAGAAGAAGGTTAAAGGTCAGGAGAGCCCAGAGATCCTACAGGATCGCTGACGTCCACCACCTGCTGGAACCCAGAAGCTGTGGCTTCTCCTCAGGGGCCCACCAAGGACATCGCAGGGCCCTGGTCAGCAGCGTGCAATGGGCCCTGAGAACAGGGCCTACGCCTTGGGGCGAGGTCTCCGGGAACAGAAACCCACAGGGCCAGGCACCCACCTGACTCCAGGGCCACGGATGCCAGAGAGCCTGAGTTACGTGGACACAACGGAGCTGTCCACACAGCTGCTGAAGTCCACAACTCCAAAACACAAAGCGTCCCCAGGACCACAGATCCCACAACCCCCCGGGGCCCATAAGATCACAACACCCACAAAATCATAGCATCCATAAAACCCCAGTGCCCACAAAGCCACAGCATTCAAAAACAAAGGCACCAAGAAGAAAGAGATATCTGAAAGGAAAAAAAATCCCATTCACAATTGTGTCCCGGAAAATCAAGTACCCTGGATCAGCTTAACTAAGAAGTGAAGGACCCATACAAAGAAAACTACAAAACTACCTCAGGAAATAAAAGCGGACACAAGGAAATGGAGATGATGTGTCCCCTGCTCATGGATCGGAAGGATTAACATCATCAAAATGGCAACACTCCCCAAAGCACTGTGCAGATTCACTGCAGTCTTATAAAGATGTCCATGACATTTTTCAAAGAAATAGACAAAACACTCCCAAAATTCATATGGAACAATAAATTCCCACAAATAGCTAAAGCAATTCTTGGGAAAAAGAAATGGGAGGCGTCCTCTTTTCCAACTTCAAACTGTATTACAAAGCAGTAGTAATTAACACAGCATGGTATTGGAATGAACAGACCAATGGAATAGAGTTGAATATACTGACACAGACCCTCAAACATATGACCACTTAATCTTTTTTTTCCCCTTTTTGGGTCACGCCTGGCGATGCCTAGGGGTTACTCCTGGCTCATGCACTCAGAAATTACTCCTGGCGGTGCTCAGGGGACCCTATGGGAGGCTGGGAATCGAACCCAGGTTGGCCGCGTGCAAGGCAAATGCCCTCCCCACTGTGCTATCGCTCCAGCCCCTGATCACTTAATCTTTGACAAAGGAGAAAGAAATTTGAAGTGGAGCACGTGGTGCTGGGGAAACTGGACAGTACATGCAAAAAACAAAACAAAACAAAAGGACTCTGACCTCTGTCTAACGCCAGGCACTTAAAAGTCAGATCAAAATGGATTAAAGACCTCAGAATCAGACCTGAATCCTTAAGGTACGTGGAGGAAAATGCAGGCAGAACCCTCCAGGACACTGAAGTCAAAGTCATCTTTAAAGATGAAATACCTCTGACCAAGCAAGTGGAAGCAAAAATAAACAAAGGGGACTGCATTCAACTAAGATGCCTCTGCACCTCAAAAGAAGCAGTGACCAAGATAGAGAAATTCCTGAGTGCATGAGCCAGTGCAGTGCCTGGAATGGGAGAAACTGTTTGCTGAATACCTGTAGGACAGCACTGGTTTGTGCTTCCTCCTCTGCCACAAGGAGCTTAGGGTCACTGAGTGATCCCCATCTCGATGCTCCCGGAGCACTCCCGTTTCCTGGGTTGTCATCTTTGACTTCGCTGTGCTCCGCTTTCTCTGCCCGTTAACGGCTGGCTGCTCCTCAGGACAGAGTTCCCCAGGGAGGAAGACTGTCTGTGTGAGAGGGATGGGAAGGCCTGCCTGGGGCGGGGTGACCACTGGCCCCTGACCCACGCTCCTGTGAGCGTCCTGAGTCTAAGAGAGAGGGGCGCTAAGCAGTGTCCTCGGAGGGACCGTGGGGAGCGGGTCAGGGGGTTACGTGCCCATGCCCACACCCACTGTCCACTGTGTGGCCATGCACAAGGCTCCCGCCACTCACGACCTGCATCCAAACCCACTGCCCGTGTCCACGGCCGCGGCCTCAACAGGCCCAGGGAGGAGCCCTGGGCAGGGGTGTGAGCACAGGGCACGGCCACTCGCTGGTGTCCGAGCACCCTGGTGGGACAGACCGACCTCCCTGCTGCCGGCACACACGGGAATGACCTGGGGGAGAGATGGCCGCAGCAGCTTCTGACACTGGTCAGCACTGCCCAACGCCGACTCGGCTGGGCAGGTACTGGCTGACGTGCAGACCCGGCTCAGGGGACGAAGCCCAGACCTCAGCTGGCTCCACACGGCCACCGACCGGGGCCCCACCCCTGCACCTGCCCCCCAGGAGGAAGGAGAATCAGCCCTTCAGGGAAAGTCTCGCTTCATCCCAGTGAAACCGCATCTTCCCCGCTGAGCCCGGGGAGCCTCGGCCGACCCAGCAGTACCCGCGGGGCTGGCAGCAGTCTGGAACCTTCTTTTCTGGGGATGCAGAACCCTGGTCTACTGCCCTGGCGGGGCTTTCCACGCCCCAGAAAGGCCGCACATGGGAGGGGACGGTCAGGGCAAGGCGGGCGACAGCAGCAAGGCCTGGACGGGGAGAACGAGCTCAACGGTGGGGTCACGCTCCCTCCCCCGCCCCCGCCCTGCCACCTTTGGCTCTGCCCGCTGCTCGTGTGTCTCCTGTGCTCTGAGCTGCCCCAGCTCTGCGTCTGGGGTCCCAGGAGGCCCCTTGGCATGCAGGTCGTTCCCATCTGACCACACTCTGGGCACATGCAAGGCACCGATTCTCTGCATGGTTTGGAGGGCAACGTGCAGCCGCTCGCTTGGCAAATCCCTGCTGGTGCCACCACCAGTTGGGGTGCCCGGTAGGCGCTCAGCTTATCGGGAGGTCTTCACTGTTTGTGCCGGGTCTGTGCCAGCTGGGACTGGATGCGGAGCGGGGGGCGGTGTGTGAGTCACGAGGGCTCGGAGAAGACAGAGGCGCGTGTGGCTATTTCTGTATCCCAAGGGTTGTGGGATGCAGAGACGAGTCCCTGAGACGTGGCTGGGTGAGCCCACGTCCTGCATGGAGCAGAGAGCACCGGGCACAAGTGGGGTTGAGGGCGGGGGGGGAGCTGGGACAGGGGTGTCGGGGAAGCACAAACGGGGGTGTGGGGAGCACAAATGAGGTGCTGGGGAGCACAGCAGGAGGGGGAGCACAGTGGGTAGGGAGCACAGTGGGAGTGGGGAGCACATGTGAGGTGCTGGGGAGCACCAAGGGTGTGGGGAGCACAGTGGGAGTGGGGAGCACAGTGGGTGGGAAGCATGGCAGGAGGGGGAGCACAGTGGGTGGGGAGCACAGTGGGTGGGGAGCACAGCGGGAGTGGGGAGCACGGTGGGTGGGGAGCATGGCAGGAGGGGGAGCACAGTGGGTGGGGAGCACAGTCAGTGGGGAGCACAGTGAGAGTGGGGAGCACGGTGGGAGTGGGGAGCACAGCGGGAGTGAGGCCATGTCCTGTGGCCATGTCCTCGTCCCCCAACAATAACTCTGTGTGGGCAGCGGGAGCAGGTGGCCAGCACCGAGCGCAGACAACAGTGCTGAGGCGGCATATTCCAACCCACAGAAAACGCCCTCGCCCGTTCCCTGGCATGATGGTGCCTGAGGAGAAGCCCAACAGCAGCACCGTCCTCTCATTCATTCCCCCTGGCCAAGGGCGAGTGACTGCAGTTACTCGTCTGTCCCTCCGAGGGGACACCACCCCACTGGTAGCATTCCCACAGAAAGGCGCCAGCCGGGCGATTCCTACAGGAAGTACATCTGCCCGCAACGGGGAGAGGAAGGAACAGACGCTTCCCCGAGGAAGCCCAGCAGATGGTCAGCGGGCACACGGGGGATGCTCAGCATCTATTATCACCGCGAATGATCCAAATCAAGATGGCAACGAGATGCCAGCCTCCACCAGAGAGGGTGGCGTGTATCAAGGGAACAATCTGTTGGCGGGACGTGGTGGAGAGGAGCCCCCGTCCCTGCTGGTGGGAACGCTGCCCTACGGGAAAGCTTGGAGGGTTCGCAGCAAACTTATCGGAGCTCCCAGATGACGAATAATTCCACGGTTGGGTATCTGTCCCCGGGACAGAAAAGAGTCATTCCAAAGGATGTGTTGCACGCCACTACCCACTGCAGTGCCCGTACAACTGCTGAGTTTCAGAATCAGCCTTGATGTCCCACAGCGGGTCAGTGGAGTGTAAGATGTAGTACATATATACACAGTGGAATACTACACAGCTGTGAGGAAGGATGAAATGGCACAATCCGCGGCAGCATGCATGGAACTGGAAGACTGACGTCAGGGTAAGTGAAGTCGGCCAGAGAAGGATGGACACGGTGCTAGCACTTCTTTGTGGTATTTAGAGTAACCGGGTGAGGGAATGCAGTGTTTTGAAGGGGGGCGCCCGGATCAACCTTGGCCCCAGAGGAGAGGGAGAAGGAAAGATGAGGGGAGGGGGAAGGGAGACGGGGAAGACAGGTGAGCAGCAACAAGCCGCCCGGGGATAAGGGTGGAGGTGGAGCCAAGGGGTGACAGAGCCGAGTGTCCAAACCTCAGGGCCGGCCACACTGAAACCCCGAGACCCAAACGCCAGCAGCAACTCAGAGAGGCGCCTCCTGCCCTCCGGAAGGAGCAACGTGACGCCCGCCACAGCCACGCCACCCCACCCGCGCCAGGCTGTGTCGCTTGGGGCAGCCCTAGGGGGGCGGGCGAGAGCCCTCCCCGCCCCAAGGGACCCAAAAACCTCCAGAACCCAACCGCCGCCACACTCAAGGCCGAGCCTCTTGCACGAGTGAACCTACTCCTGGACCCCTCGTACCTCACTCCACCCAGACTCCAAGAGTAGTGCTCCACATGGGATGGGACCCAAAGAGAGGAGGTAACCAATCATAGGGGGAATGTATATATACATCTGTATAAATATATATATGTGTGCATACATATTTACAGATTTTATATATATATATATATACACACACACATGATAGCACAGCGGTAGGGCGTTTGCCTTGCACGCAGCCAGCCCGGCCGACCCGGGTTCGATTCCTCCGCCCCTCTCGGAGAGCCCGGCAAGCTACCGAGAGTATCTCGCCCGCACGGCAGAGCCTGGCAAGCTCCCCGTGACGTATTCGATATGCCAAACACAGTAACAACAAAGTCTCCAATGGAGACGTTACTGGGCCCGCTCGAGCAAATCGACGATCAACGGGAGGACCGTGACAGTGATATATACATGAAAGTTCACAAGGCTCAACCTTTAACAGCATGTTAGTGATCTCTTATAGAAGGTCTTAACGGCCCCTGCCAAAACAGAACAGTCTTCATACTCTTTCCTCTAAGGACACCTTTTTGCAGCATTTTCAGTGGTTTTTACATAACCAACAGTACAAAAGAGGCTCTTTGGGGGCTCAAAGCTCCTGGGCTGGAATCGGGCTCGGTGCTGAGGCCCCTCACCCGAAAGCAGCCCAACCCTCCGGGGGCCGCATCCCACCTTCCCCTCTTGGACAAGCCTCAGCCCTCGGCTCAGTGCCGACTCACTCACCGACTCACTAACTCAGACCTGACTCTCTGCTCAGGAGAGGCACCGGGGCAGGATGGGGACGGGGGAGGGGGGCCCGTGGTGGGAGGGAGTGAGGGTTCTAGGTGAGGAGGCGATGGAGAGGGAAGAGGGTCCGAGTCAGGAGGTGAAAGGGTCCAGGCCTGGTGACCTGGGGGCAGGAGGCTCCCAGCAGCGTGTCAGGGCCAGTCCCCAGCCGGTTCAGAGCAGCCCATGGCCAAGGTCCGGGCGGGTCCAGAGGCCACGATCAGTCCCCACACGGCGGGCTGGGTAGGGGTGGGAGGGGCAGGAGGGGCACGAGGACACGTGGCCTGAGGGGGACAGGGACAGCCCGGCCGCAGCACTAACTGTGGAACAAGCTGACCCAGGAAGGTTCTGGAAGTGTGCCGTGACCACAGTCCTGCCCGGGGGGATGGGGGGAATCCAGCCCAACACGAGCCCCCAGGACGACCCTGAGACCTCCCCCCTCCCCCCCCATCCTCCCTCCCCTCCTCCCCCACTTCCCTGGAGCTCCCTGAGCTGACCGTGGGGCACTCGGCACCCTGGGGGGGCACGAGTGGGAAGGGCCTGGGGCACCTTAATCAGTGGGCAGGGGCATCGCGCTGTGGGTGAGCAGGCACAAACACCTCACAGACACACCCGCACACTCCCACATACACACACGCACACACACACTCATGCGTACACACACATTTCACCGACACATTTACACACTCACACATATACACATGCACACACACTCATGCATACACACATACACACTCATACACATTCACCCACACTGACACACACATACACACACACTCATGCGCACAGACACACTCACACACATTCACACACATATACACACATGCACACACACTCGTGTACACACATACACACTCACCGACACATTCACATATACTTGCACACTCTCACATACATGCACACACCCCTATGCATACACACAGACACAGCTGCGCACACACTCATGCGTACACACACACTCGTGCACACACATTCACAGACACGTTCATACTCATTCGCATACACAGACGTACACTAGCACACACATGTATTTACACTCACGTGCACACATACACACACACACACACACTCGCACCCCTGGCACCTGAACACACCATCTCATCATCTGTAACAGGTGACTCCACCCCTGTGACACGTGTTACCGAAAGCTCATGGAAATAGGTTTAAACCTTTAAGATGAACATAAATAGTTACGATGTACAATACACTCTATATAATCATAAAATACCATCAAGTACAAAAATACGGACTTACATGTTTGGACAAGTTAGGGCTCTTTGAATCGACATCGTACCTAAAAAATCAAAACACAAAACTCAAGTAATTCGAAATATCTGAGCCACGTCAATGAAACAAAACAATCCAAGCCCCTTCTCCTCCGGGAGAAGCCATGCGGCCCCTCAGCCCCAGCCGAGCCCCGAGTCCTGGGGTCCCCCGGCTCCCCTACCTGCCCCCAGGGCTGAGCCCTGCGTCCCCTCAACGGTCCCTGCCCCCACGGCCAGGCTCCACCCTGCGGCTACAGAAGGAGGAAAGCTGTATCTCCCCGCAGTCGGCCCGCTGGACAGCCAGACCCCCTCCAGGTCACAGACACGCAGGACCCAAAGGGCAGCTGGACGGACAGGCCGGCTGGGCAGTCGTGCAGGACACTGGCCGGGCTCTGGGTCCCGCCCTGGCCAGGCAGAACCAGAAACAGGCTCTGGAGCCACATGGCCAGATCACGGCTGGACCTGAGGGGGCTCTGGGCACGGGCACAGCCCTGGCTCTGGGGCAGCCGCGGTGGCTCTGGCCTGCGGCAAACGCCCTGCCCAGTCACCCCCGACAGGACTCCCTGTGGGCAGTCTGCCGCCCTGCCCAGGCGCTGGGGTGCAACTGTCCCCTGGGGTCAGGGAGGGGACGTGTCCTGGAGTGGTGGCCCTGGGCAAGGCCCTGCTGGGCTGTAAACGCCCGCCCGGCTAGTGTGTGGGCTGGGCTCGGACTCGGCCCCCGGAAGGAGGCCCCGTGCCCAGGGCCACGCTGCCATGCATCTCCCCCGGGCAGCCGGACAGGCAGTCTCGGTGGGGCCCGGGCGTCCACGGGGAGGGTCAGTATGGGTGCTGCCCCACGCGCACGGTGCTGATGCATGGGGACCAGCGGGTAGTCGGGGCGAGTCAGGGTCCGGGACAGCTGGGTGCCTGTCACTGCTCTAGACGTTGTTAGAATTCTCCTGTTTTGGGTTCTTAGCCACACAAGGCGATGCTCAGAGGTTCGTCCTGCATCTGTACTCCAGGGTCATTCTGGGGGTCACACCTGGACCAGCCGCGTGCAAGGCCAGGGCCTGCCTGTGGCGCTACAGCCCCGTGAAACGTGAGGCCACCATGTGTCCTTCCTGTCCTGGCCGCCCCCTGCCGGTTCTGCCTTAGAGTCCAGCGGGCCCAGGGCCCCTGCGGCCACAGGCCCCACCCGCCCGCGCGTACAGGTCGAAGCGAAGGTTCTCCCTCTCCTCGAAGAAGTAGTCCAGAATGAACTTCCTCACGAAGTCGGGGTTCAGCGTGTTGTCGATGACCTCCGTCCTCCCGAACTGGGGGAGAGAAGGGTCAGAGTCAGGCCCGGCCAGCCTGGCCAGTGCCCCTCCCACGGGGACTCCCTCCCCCGCCACCTCGGGCCCCGGGGCCTAGCTGCTCACAGGGCTGGAGCCCACCCTGCCCCTGGGGCCCTCCAGGGATGCACCGGCTAGTGGCACCGGCTAGTCTCCCTCTCGAGACCACGCTGGGACTCAGGCGTCCAGCTCAGGAGGGCCCCAGGACACACACTGCCTGGCCCCCGTGCACGCCGAGGATACAGACAGAGAAGGTTCCGGAAGGCAAGGCTGTGCTGGCCACAGTCAGCTGCCGGGACGCCCGGCTTTCCTCCCACCCTCAGAACCGGGACCAGGGCATGCCCATCAGGGACGCCAGAGACCTGGTTCCACCCCCGCACCACACGTCCCTGAGCACTGTGCTGGGAGTTAAGCCCTGAGCACTGTGTGGTGTGGTCCCAAAGACACAAACATTCATTTTGAAAAAGACAGAAGTAAACTAAACCAGAGACCAGCATGCCCCACGGTGCCCCCAGCTCAGTCGGCGCAGGGGCAAACGCCGCCCACAGCACCCACACAGCCCCAAGACTCAGCCCTGGCCCAGCCCAGCACGTCTGCTCCACGAGCACTGCGGGTACTCCTGCCCACTCAAACCTGAGAGCAGGAGAGCGAGGGTAGGACCTGTGACCTCTGCCCGAGCAGTGGCCTTGAAAGCCGTGTCCACACAATGGGCCTGTGGTCATGAGCCGAGACCAACCTGAGCCTCTGGGGCCCTGGACGCCGCAGGCCGGAGCCAGCAGTGCTGGGGCCCAGGGGACTCGGGTCCATCTCGGCTCATGACCAGGGACGTCAGCAGGCTCGAGTCCTCGTCCCGGGAACACGGTCAACTGTTAATTTGGTTAAAATGCAAAACATTGTTTTTTTGTAAAGCTTCAGGCAAAAGCATCAAACAATCAGGCTTTTGTTTGGAGGTGCCTGATCTGCGCTGGGGCTAATCGGATCAAGCCCACTTTTCCATCTAGGACAATCTTGCAGAGAACGAGGGTCTGGAAACACTCCCGTTGCTACGCCAGCTCGTCCTGAACTGCTTGAGATACTACGCCAGGAGGGCTGTGCGGGGGAGGTCTTGGTGCACGCCGAGAAGTGTCCAGAGCAGGAGCACGGCAGGGCCCGGCCGCAGGGAAGGGGACACAGGGTCCACCCCAGAGAGACCAGCCGAGGGCCCCTGAGGGCTGACGGACACAGTCCACACGGCCGATGCTCTGAGTGGGGTGACTGAATCCCAGGGCGAATTGGAGACCCAGTACAGAGGGGAGGGCCAAGCCGGGTTCGATTCCTGGCACTACTTGTGGTCCTCTGAGCCCTGCCAGGAGTGATCACTGGGGGTGGCCCAAAGCAAAACAAAACCGAAGACAAAGAATATCAGGGCAAGCGTGGAAAACCCTCAGTTTGGACTCTCCCTGTGCATTCCGCACAAAGGTGTCAGACGCACACACACACAGGGCGTTTGCCCAGAATCCCACGTCAGACATGCACTCACACGTGTGGGTGCACACACCCACGTCACACCAATACACGCATATGCACCCGTGCCTGGGCCCATGCTGTGGGTACTTGTGTGCACGTATCCAAGAGCCCACATCACACATATATGTGCAGGTGTGAATGTGTCTGCAAGCCCACATCACATGTATCATGTGTGTAACAGAATAAGCCCATGTTGCACGTGTGCAGACATGTTTGCTCACACATGTGCACTCGTGCACATACATGCATGAGACCACATCATGCATGTGCGCGTACCCCTAGACACAGACTCTTGGGGGCACACACACGGTCCACGCTCCACGGGTTCCTTCTTCAATCAGAGCCAGCACAGCGGGTCCCAGACTGTTTCACACGGAGAAGCACCAGGTCCTCAGTTTCCTGGCTCCGTGGCTGGGGCTCCTACGCGTAGGATAACACTGGTTTGTCCTTTCTCCCTTGACACAGGGCACTTAGGTTTATCGGGTTACGCCCATCACAGTGCTCCCGAGTCACTCCCATTCCTCTGAGCTTATCTGTAACTTCTCTGTGCTCTCTTCCGCAACCTGTCTGCCACCTTTTCCCCCTAAGCAGACTCTGTTAACTCCTAAGGTCCGATCCTTCTAAGGACACTTGACTTGTATTCATGTACTGCCTTTCTCCTCTCCTTTTGTCTTTTGAATAGTTTACTTTAAAGCGATGTCCTTTTTGTATAGACACAGGAATTTTCAGTCCTGAGCATCTGCTTTCTCGACTTAAGCCTCCGTTGCCCTTAGTTCCTAGCACCCAAAAGCAGGGTCCCAACGAGGGACTGAATGGACCCAGGGCAAGCTGTGAGCTACCCTGGCATCGAAATGGGTCAGGCCAAAGCACCACGATATTCAACTATAAGTTGAGAGCACATTCATGGACAGACTCCGTCATGACCAAAAGAGGTAACTGGATAAGGACCCCACTAGGATTAGGGAGACTAACCCGGCCTGAGGATTGTGGTCTGGGACATACAGTGAGATGTCCTCAGGAAGAGCCAACCTTTAAGCTTGACGTATCTCTTACTGTGTCCATAGGAAATGACTAATATTATGAACGTTTACATGTTTGTTGGACAAGGAGAGGAGAGACACACCCCTGGGATTCCGCTCTTGGGCGGGTCCTCCTGCTGAAAGAGAATCTGTCCTGGAAGCAGCATCCCCTGAGGGAAGAACTTTACCTCTGCTGAGTGTGTGACCACACCCACGTGTAATTATTACCCCACCTCCTCCTGCTTTGGGAGATACAAAGGCTGTAAGAGTGGGCTGGGAGAGTCAGAAGGGGAATGAAGTAGAATGAAAGGTGGGTTGGGGGAGGCAGAGGCAGGCAGGAGAAGGACGAAGGAGCAGGACCTGAGAGGAGGATGAGGGGGAAGGGGGATCCGGAGGAGGAAGAGGATCAGGATGGGAAGGAAATAAACAGCACCCGACACCAACCAGCCCGGCCCTCGCTCCCTCCCTCCTTCCTCCATCGCCCATCGCCATCAGCCTCCCTGGGGTGGGGAAGCGGGCGTGAGACCACCAACCGCGGGAGGGGTGTGTGTGTGTGTGTGTGTGTGTGTGTGTGTGAGAGAGAGAGAGAGAGAGAGAGAGAGAGAGAGAGAGAGAGAGAGCGTCTCTGCAAGGCCCTTTCGTATTTTATTTTTTGAATACACACCCACGAGGGACAGAAGGCGGGAAGCGCAGTTCGGGGAATCTTTCCCTAGAGACGCGTCACTGGCCAGAACCAGGCTTTGCGTCTGCCAGTGGTTCGGGCCAGCTCTTCTGCAAAAACTAGAAAAATCAGGCAAAAGATGAAAGTTGCCTTTTAAAAGGTACCAGAGAACTCGGGAAACTAGAAAGCTGTGGGTCCCCCACCTGGAGAAAAGAAAACAGAGAAATGCACAGATGCTTCTGAATGGGACCTTGCGGGCGGGAAGGTTCCAGGGTTGCAGGGAAAACCCTCAGGCCTTGGAGGGCCCAGGAGACAGGGCAGTGGTCAGGGCTCATGGGGCACTGTGGTCAGCCCCCCCCCCCACAGCCCCCCGAGCACTGTCAGGCACAGCCTGGAGCCCCCACCATGCTGATAGCAGGCACCCGGGCCCTTGTGCTAAACCACTCACCCACCGGGAGCCCCTAAGAATCCTCAGAGGCAGGGTGGCTCAAGGGGCAGAGCATGGCAGCTCAGATGAGGCCCCCATGGGTGTGGTCCCCATGTGCATGCCAGGCCCATTGGCTTCCATCGGCACTTTCCATGGAGCCAGGCCTGGGCGGCCACGGGGCCCAAGAAGCAGATAGAGCTGAATGTGGCTTGGTGGCCACAGCAGCACAAGGCAGCGTGGGGCAGGGCAGGGAGGCTGGTTCCGGGAGCCCAGCTTGGCACGAAGGAGGCAGGGAGGAAGGAGGAAACCCAGACAGCAGAGGCGCGAGCGAGGGAGTATCAGGAGCTGCCTGCCGCCGTCCCGACAGCCAGCCTGGTCAGCCACAGGAGTGACGAGCTCAGGGCCCTGGTCCAGGGTGGCTACAGGCACGGCCCCGTGAGGAGGGAGAGAGGACCCGGGCCAAGCCAGCGCCCGTGGCCAGCACCCTCAGGGGGAACCCAGAGCAGCTCCCCCCGGACGGGAAAGGCAGGAGCGGGTCCAGAGGACACAGACTCGAGAGAGCCGAGGGCGGCAGGGCCAGGGGCAAGCCCTGCAGGACGGCACCGGAGCAAGCCAGGCCACCCCAGACCTAGTCGTCCTGAGCCTCGGGACCAGCTCCCCAGCGTCACCGCTGAGAAATCAGAATCACGTGCTTCATTCTCAAGCACAGCAAAGCCCACCAAAAGCTGTGTTACCCCCCCAGACCTAGGGACCCGCATGTGGGTCCTGCATCCAGAGCTCCTGAAAGCACCTCCAGGAAGTCGGCAGAACAGAAGCTGCCCCACGCAGAGCCTGCAGAAGGCGGGTGCTGCGGGCTCATGGGGGGACCAGGGGGCACAAGACGGTGTTGCGCGAGGACCAGCCGCTGTCGGCAGGCGCGTGAAATTCAGCCCTCTCGGCCTCAGCACCCGGCACGGCAGACGCTGGTTTGGAATCTGCCTCCCCGCAGAATCCCCGCGCACGGGGAACTTCCCTTTCGGCCGGCAATCAGGCTGAGGCTGCTGTGATGGCCCCCTCAGCCGGAGGAGGACGGGAGGGGATTCTGTCCCCTTCTCCTGGGCAGACTAAGGAGCAAGGCAGAGAGATGAAGGTGGAGATACGTAATGAAGCACTGTCGCACTGTCCTCCCATCGTTCATCGATTTGCTTGAGCGGGCCCAGTAACGTCTCCGTCGTGAGACTTGTTATTGTGTTTGGCTTATCGAATACGTCACGGGGAGCTTGTCAGGCTCTGCCGTGCGGGCGAGATACTCTCGGTAGCTTGCCGGGCTCTCCGAGAAGGGTGGAGGAATCGAACCCGGCTCAGCCAAGCCAGCCGCGCACAAGGCAAATGCCCTAACGCTGTGCTAAAATTGTAGAATGGTAGATTAACACCAACACTGGGTAATCTGGATACACTAAATAAAAGGTGAAGATCACTGATGTAGGTTTATACCGAGACCTAAGCACCTGCAAACGGTAAGAGAGATGCTTCAGACGCAGAACACTCGGGGAAATTTCAGAGGAATCCATGGGAGCACATGAACTCTGCAACTGGACCTTTCAGAGTGGGGCCAGGCTAGAAGCTGCCGGGGGGTGGGGGACAGCCAGCGCCTCTTGTGCTGGCCCGAGCACTGCTGAGGGAGCACAGGAGCACGCGGGTGAGTGAGGGGGGAGTAGGGGGTGCTCCCATAGCGACTGGGAACGACCACCAAGGACAGGACAGAAACACACAAGACTCGACAGAGCACAGGCGAAGCCGCGAGCCTCAGCACGGGGAGAGGGGGCTGGGAGGAGAGGGGAAGGCCACGACGCTCGGGGTACGAGCCGTCCCGGCCCAGCCCAACTGCGGACTCTCGAGCTCAGCGGAACCAAAGGAGCTACTGACAGCAGCGGGCACGCGGGCAGGCCAGGCACCCGCTCAACTTCACTCTGCAAACAGGAATGCACCCGTCCGCCTCACACCCACCCGCCTCTGCAGGAGGTGAGGTCGCTGCCCTGTCTAGACGGGAGGGAGGACACTGCTTATCTATACCGAAGTGAGCACCGCCCCGTCTCTGCAGGAGGTGAGCACACGGCCCTGTCCACCGCTCAAACGAGAGGGGCAGCCCAGCGCCGGACAGCCTGGCTCCAAGGCCTCTGCCCCCAGCTCCACACGCGGCGCACACGGCTCCACACGCAGCCCCACGCAGCTGCCGGCACACAGCCCTCTGCCCTCGCCCAGCCGTGCGGGACCCTGGCCCTCCCCCCAGGGAGCCGCACTAGCCACCACCAACGTCGGCCGGGCCCCCATGGCTGTCCCCACCCTCGAGGCGCCCTCCTGGGGGTCGTGGGGGGGGGGAAGGGCGGGTCGGACCCAAGGGAGGCCGTGGGCTCCGAGAGACACCCCGTGGCAGAAAGGGCGTGCAGCTCTCCCCAGGCCGGGCGGCTCCCGTGGCGGGCAGACACTGCAGCCCAGGGCCAGCTGTCCGCCCCCACCGCTGACCGCCAGGCCTGCTCCTTCAGACGCTGTAGCCACCAGGGCCAGGCCCGCGGCAGATAATCCTGACAAAACCTGTTTCCAGCCAGTTCACAGCCCGACACCTGACGACAGCCAGGCAGGGTGCAGGGTGGGCCTCCGGCACGCATGGACCCCCAAGCACCACGAGGTGCCCAGAGCCTGCAGTGGACCTGAGCACAGGAGCAGGAATATCCTCCGAGCACTGGGTGGGGGGAGCTGCCCCTGAGCACTGGGCAGGGAGCAGCCCTGAGCACTGGGCTGACAGCAGCCCTGAGCACAGAGCCAGGAGCGGCCCCTGAGCACCACCACGTGTGCCCCGCAGCGCGCAGAGGGGCGAGTTGCCTCCCTGAGCCTTGAGTGCGGCCAGGGCTGTGCCGACTCCTCCCCCGGCAGTGACGAGGCACCGGCCGCCCTCAGTCACGGCCCGTGAGTCTGGCTGCGGTGCTGAAGTGGCATCTGCCTTAAAAAGCCATTTTTTCAAGAGCTTTTGACAGCTCACAGCTGCTGGAATTTACCTGCAAGTCCGGCGGCGAGGCTGTGCTGCCAGATAAGCGGGTCCAGAGTCCAGCAGGACGTTGGTCTTTAAGGATTTCGCTACCCTTTCACGTGCGCGTCTGTTGCAGCAAATTTTGAATTCCCTTTTCCGCCCTCACTGCTGTCGGGGGGTAACTCACCCCGAACACGAAATCCCACGGCAGGCCACGGCGCAGCCGGCCACACGGACCCCCGTCTGCGGGGGCTTCAGGGACCCTCTGGGTCAGGCTCCCGCCCCGGCCCACGGCCCCACTAACACAGCGTCCACGTGTGTCCCTCAGTGCTTGGGGCATCGCGGGGAAACGCCATCTCACACGCACGGCACGGGGGCCAACGGCACCACCAGTGTGACTCGACACGCAGAGGAAACTGAGGCTGGGGTCTCCGGGAGGCCCACGGGGGCGCCAGCTGACCCAGTCTTGGGCTCCCACCCTCAGCCCATGTCCAGTCTCTGCTCTGCTGCCTTGGGCCACGCCCCCCTTCCCCCTATGGAGCAGGGCTGAGCCCAGAGCTCAGCTCTGGCACGGTGCTCGGCTCTGAGCACTGAGCTGGGAGTCACCTCTAAGCACTGCCCGGTGTGGGCCAAACACAGGGAAAGGCTCTGAGGGCCCAGGGAGGTAATTTGGGGACAAAACATGTCCTGTCCCGGACACCACACGGCCCATGAGCCTCGTGGAGCGGCGCTCGGGTCCTTCCACAGAGCCGCCCCTGGACCTCAAAATAGCCAGGTCAGGAACGGCCGGGAGGGCCAGGGCGTGAGTGCCAGCGAGAGGAGCCACGCAAGAAACCTGAAGGCCCTCCCGGCCACTGCTACGGCCACAGGACACCGCTCCGTCCAGCCCAGCCCACTGCGGCCACAGGACACCGCCCCGTCCAGCCCAGCCCACTGGGCAGACCATTCAGCCCTCACACCAGGCCTCCCCGCCTGCGGAGCTCCAGACCCGGCTGAGGGTGGACGGGCTCCTTTCAGCACTGGTGCTGGTGTTGGAAGCCACAGCAGCCCGGGGGGGGGTGGGGGAGCGGCACTTCTGAGGGTCCCTGTCCGCGGCTGGGCGCCCCCCTCCCCCCGCCGCACAGCCCTGCCGGGGGCCACAGCGAGGCCAGACCCCAGCCCTGTCAGCTGACCCGACACTCCCCACGGGGTTCTGAGCACGGGAAAAGCAAGTTTCAGGCTAGAACATTCCACAGGAGGCCCTACCCCCCCCCCCACCGGATGTTCCGGCGATCAGAGACGGGACACAAAGACGCCTTTCACCATGGGAACAGAGGCGGCCAGCCCCGCTCCCCAGGGCACCCCCAGGGACGAGGCGCTCACCTCTCTCCATTCCTTGTTGCCGACTCCTTGCACGTACAGGACGCAGACTGCAAAGGGGGGAGAAGCACAGAGACATGGTCAGGGTGTGCAGTTCCTCTCCAGCTGCCTGGAGGCGACATTAAGGCTGACGCCCAACCTCGGCCTGAAGCCCGCAAGAAAACGACTAAGTCATCAGCAAATGGTGAAAAACTTCCCTAAAGAAACGAAAGAACCAGGGTACAAATTAGACACAAACATGCTCCATCTTGGGCTGGAGCGACAGCACAGCAGGGAGGGCGTTTGCCGTGCACGCGGCCGACCGGGCCGACCCGAGTTCGATTCCTCTGCCCCTTGCCGGAGAGCCCGGCAAGCTACCGAGAGTATCCCTCCCACACGGCAAGGCCTGGCAAGCTCCCTGTGGCGTATTCGATCTGCCAAACACAGTAACAACGTCTCAGAATGTTACTGGGCCCGCTCGAGCAAATCGATGAACAACAGGAGGACAGTGACAGTGACAGTGATGGTCCAACTGACTCTTGCTTCCCCTGTCTGGCCGGCACCTGGGCCCCGGGGAGGGCGCTGGACAGGGGGCATTCGTCATGTCACCCCCGAGGAAGCCTGCGTGGCCACCTGCCCGCCCATTCTCAGAGCAGAGGGCGCAGAGACCCTGCCAGGGAGAGGAAGCCCCTGGCGTGCGCGGGCATGGTCGGGGTGAGAGGGTAAAAGCCCACCCAAGGGACGAGCCGGAACCGGAAGGGGAAAGCCCTGTCCTGCCCCCTCCTGTCGGGGCGCCTCGGGGCTGCAAAGTGTGTCCCCTGGAGTTGTGCCGCGTGTGCTCACAGGAGACTGGGCCACCCGGGTCACTCACAGCTGCAGCAACCGAGCCCAGGGGTGGGGGGAGGGGGGGTCCCAGCTGCAGACAGGGTGGTCGCAGGTACCGGTCTGCTGCTTTCTGCCCTTCCCCTGCCCAGGGCTGAGGGGGCCTCCTGCACTCAGCTCTGTGGGGCTTTGCCTTTCCCTGGGTCTGCCCGACTCTGGCGCTGGGGGCAGCTGGGGGCCCCGTGCCCCTCCCCGGCCTTACACCAACACAGAAGGAAGAACAGTCTATGCAAACCCCGGCCCGGGTGGCCGTACTCACTCGGGTCCGACTTGGAGAAGGTGTCTCGGTCCAGGAGGTTCCTGGGGACAAAGAGGAGACGGTCGTGAACTCGTGGCAGCCCGTCCCCATCCACGAGGTCAAGGGCTGAGCCAGAGGCTGATTCCTGCTGCCCCGCTGGTCCCCTGAGTGCCACAGGGACCCCCGCAGAGAACAAAGAAACCCCCCCACCAGGGAGAATGCACCATCCGGGGGACTCCAGTCCTTGGCACCCACCAAATCTGCCTCGTGCCAAGCCCAGGAACGCCGAGCATACAAGGGTGGGGGGGACCTGCAGCCACAGGGGTCCGCGGCCCTCACATGCATTCAAGTGATCAGCACAGCCCCACAGGCAGGAGAGCTGGGCTTACGGCCCAGCACCCGTGGGCCTGAGCACAGAACCAGGAGTTTGCTCTCAGAAAACAGAAATGAGGGGCCAGAACAACAGTATGGTGGGGAGGGCGGCCCACCCAGCATCCCACAGGGTCCCCCGAGCACCACCAGGAGTGATTCCTGAGTGCAGAACCTGAGGAAGAAACCCTGAGCATCGCCGCGTGTGACCCAACGTGAAAAAACAAAAAACCCAGAAATGAGAGACACACGCTCACCCGACCCAGCAGAGCTGCCCCGGCTGGGACAGGGGCCGGGGCTCGGGCTGGGGGGCCTCGTGGTCAGAAATCAGCAAACACCCCAGGCCCCAAGGCTCATTCCAGGGCGTCAGTGACCACAGGCCTAAGCTGAGCCCCTGGCCGGGTCTGGCCTCGTGGACACCCGCCTTGTGGAAATATCCTGAGATGCACCCAGCCCCCAAGCTCAGCGGGGAACAAGCAGGGGGTCCCACCCTAGATGCAGGAGGGATGAGGCTGCCTGACCTCTGACCTCTAGAACAGCAGTGCCTGGAAAGGCCCAACCCCCACGCCCGGTGGGAGACGGGGACAGAAGGTTCCTGAGGACACCTGCGTAGACCGGCCCACACAGAGCTGCTCCTCTAGGCACTGGAGAGACGCTCCTCCCTCCAACCCGCCAGCCACACAGCGCCAACCCAGACCCCGTCCACCCAGCCTCCAGCCCGGACCTCCGTCCCCGCGCCTCCAACCTGGCTGCCAGGCCTGTGCCCCTGGAAGCCTCCGCGTGGTGGCAGGGACAGGGCCCCCTGCACTCCACAGACCTGACTCAAGCCCCGGGAACACCTACGGCCCCCGGGGCCGCCAGGGGGCCCCTGAACACAGAACCAGGAGTCACCCTGAGCTCCGCCAAGTGTGATCCCCACCAGGAAAGAATTGGAAAGTGCATCTCCCATTCTAGCCGACCTTCCTGACCGTGCCGGGGGGCTCCTCCGACCGGGCGGCCAGACCCTCCGGAACACGCGTCAACCCCTGCTCCACGGCCACAGCATGATCTGGGCTGTTCTGAAATTCGTGCGAATTAAAATTCAGGGGCAAACTGCTGGTGCTGAGAAGCCCACTGGCTCCTAGACAGCGGCCAGGCGGGCTCTGCCCACCAGCCGTGCCAACCTCGGCCCCTGCCGACTCCACCCAGGCAGCTCCTAGAAGCTTCTCCCAGGAGCAGCCACGCTCATTCACCTCCCTCCGGGGACACGGACACCACGCCCACCCCCCCCCCCCTCCTCTGCTCACACTTGTCCTGTCCCATTGCCCCAGACCTGAAGAGCACCCGGCGCCCTCCTCGGCCCGGACACCAGCCCCCAGACCGTCTGTTCTCTCCTTCTCACGCGGAGCCTTTAGAGCTTTCTAGAAGAAAGGCAGAACTACGATGGCGTCAAGTTGTGTCGGCAGGTGAGGCGCCGTGACACTCCCACTGGGGTCAGAGCTACCACTCTGACGACGTCCTACGGACCGAACGCTACTCCAGCAGCGACTGCGTGGAGGGGCTCGACCACAGATCCAGGGGCTCCGAGGCTCCCAGTTCTCGAAGAACTTCTGTGTGTCGAGGAAGCAGATCGGCCTTGTGAGAATCGATGAGGAATCAACTGTGCGCTTCCAGAGCCGTCGGGGGACAGGCATGAACACGCGTGAGGCAGGGCGGATCAATGCAGGAATCGTTAGGCAGCAGGAAAGTACAGGGAAGCACAAGCGCTGTTGTGAGTGGGCGCCCTGAGGAACACCGCCCGCAGCTGCCGGAGCCGGAAGGAGCCGGAAGGAGCCGGAAGCTGGGGGGTGGGGGTGCGTGGGCTGCCACAAAGGAGGGTCAGGCGTGGAGCGACCGCAGGAACGGCCTCCGCTGGGCTGGGGGCTCTGCGGGAGGGGCAGGGGCGCCCGCAGGGAGCAAGGGACAAGGGACAACCCCAGGACACAGGACAGCAGCGGGGCTCTGCCCTGCCACAGGCCAGCCAGAGAGAAAGTCACCCCACAGCGGGCAGGAGCGAGCCTCACAGGGTGGGACGGGGCCCGGGGTCAGGGCTGACCAGACCCCAAACTCCTCACTGAGAGAACAGGGCCACACAGACACACACACACACACACTCAAACACACACACTCACACACACATACACACACACATACTCAAGCAGGGCCCAGGGTGCACACACACACATCCACATCCACACTCACACACACATACACACACTCACACACACACATACACACTCAGACAGGGTCCAGGGTGCACACACACACACACACTCAGGCAGGACCCAGAACACAGACACACACACACACACTTAGGCTGGGCCCAGGACACATACACACACACACACACACACACACACACTCTCAGGCAGGGCCCAGGGTGCACACACACGTTCACACACACACTCACACACACTCAGGCAGGACCCAGGGTGCACACACACACATACACACACTCACACGCTCTCAGGCAGGGCCCACGGTGTACACACACACATTCACACACACTCACACACACTTACACACACACACACTCTCAGGCAGGGCCCAGGGTGCACACACACACACACACACACACACACACGTAGGATGGGCCAAGGACATACACTACACACACACACACACACACACATTCAGGCAGGGCCCAGGGTGCACACGCACACACACACACACACATACACACATGCTGGGCCAGGGCAGAGCTTACACGCAGGCAGGCCCCGGGGACAGAGCAGGGCCCACGTCTCAGACAGGTGCACAGGGTAAGTGCCTCTGACCTCACTGGCCCCAGTGGGGTCTGGGCTGACCTGCCCCACCCAGCTCCTGGACACAGAGGCAGCAGGGCAGCAGGAAGCAGGTGCCCCCGGACAAGCCTCGGGGCCCTCCTAGTGCCCGTCCAGAGCCACGCTGTGGCCAGCACCGCCCGGAAAGAGCTGAAGGGTACAGGCCCTGCCGTGTCCCAGGAACCTTCCAGAAGTGGCTGTCACCGGCCATTCAGGGCAAAGCACTGAGAATGACCCAGACCAGCACCCAGTCAGGCCCTGGGGACACCCACTCCCAGGGGAAGCTCAGGGCTCTGCTGTGGGGAGGGCCTGTTCCCGCCACACTGCCACGGGAGGACACTGACCCAGGCCTGCAGGGACAGACCATGGAGGGACACGGCAGGACACTGACCCTCAGGCTGCAGGGACACAGACCACGGAGGGCCCAGCAGCAGGCAATGGGTCTAGGGGACACAGGGCCACCTCCCACCCTCCCGGACGCCTCATTTCTGATAAGTGCTTCCTTCAGGGTGCACGGGAAGTCTGCCTGAGACTGTCCCCGCGTGGCCGTAGGTGAGACAAGCCCTGGGCCAGGAGCCACGGCGGCCAGCACACAGCCCCCCGGGAGCCGCACTCACTGCCCTCCCCCCGCAGGGCCTGGTCCCTGGGCAGCTGGCTGCACGGGTGCAGCTGTCCACCAGCATCAGGGCTGCCACCAGCATTGGGCTGTCCACACACCCTGCGCCGGCCACGTGGGCCCCCGGCTGGGACCATGGCAGACCTGGGAGGCGGCAGGGAGGCGGGGTGATAGCCGGGGGGCCCGCCGGGCCAGGCGGTGACCTCCACCTCTGCCGTCCCTGGGGTCCCGGGCTGCCCATGGACCAGGCTGGGGCCGGTGGTCCTCCTCCCTCCCGGGGCTGGGGCCCGCCCTTCTGAGGAGGCTCACCGGCCTTCCAGACTGGAGCTGGTTAAGGCAACTGACCTAGAAACCCACGATTCAACACTGACCACGGGAAAGTGGGGCCAGCCCAGCTCAGGGACAGGTAGAGGGGCCGCGGGGGCTGGTGTCCACCCGCGTCTCTGCAGCCTGTCCCTGAGGCTCAGGGAAGAGTCCGGGAGCTGCTCCCAGGAAAGCCTGTGAGTGGACAGGGGGCTTTGCTCCCGAGAGCCTGCGGCCTCAGGCTGCCACCCACGGGCCAAGAGCCCACTCACCCCCCGAGGGTCCCCAGTGGTGGCCCCGTGCCCAGACACCACAGCTGCCCCAGGTCCTGTCCTGACGGGCCTGGGGGCTGCTCCCAGGGGACCCCACCAGGCCCAGGTCTGCCGGGACTCAGAAACACGAAGGCCAGTGGCTAGGGAGCAGGGCCCGGCCCCGGGGAGGAGTCCTGGGTCCCAAGGGGGGTGAAAGTGAGCAAGGAGACTCAGGGTCCAGCACCGGGCTCCGCGCCACCCGGCCAGCCTGCGCCCTGCCCAGAGTCCCACTAGCCTGTGGGCCTGGGGCTCCCCCTTGAGCTGACCCCCTTCCACCACGCGCCTCGCCAATGCTCACCCCCCCACCCCAAATCACTCGGAGCATCTGCAGCGCCGGGACCCCTGGACCCTCGGGGCAGCGGCTTCCGTCCCTGAGTCTGCAGGCTGGAGGACGGGCAGGGGTCCGGCGGGAAGGGCCAGCAGCCCCGGCCCGCGCCGACCCCCGCCTTCCGGGCGTGCGCGCACGGGCAGGGGCGCACGGGCAGGAGCGCACGACCCCGCGGGCCGGGGCAGTGCCTGGCCCCGCGCGAGGGTCGCGCCGGCCGCTGAGTCACGCCGGGAACTTTCCCGCGGTCCCCGCGGAGGTGCCGCGTCCCCCGCCCGCCCCCCCGGGCCGCTCACCTGCACGACACCGACAGCTCCACGCGCGTGGCGGGGATGGCGGCGCCCAGCGGGCTCGGGTCCGAGAGCCCCGCCGCGCCCCGCCGCCTGTCCATCCCGCGGCCAGCTCCGCCGGACTCCGCGAGCGCGCGCGGGGCGGGACCGGCAGGCGCGGGGAGGGGAGCGGGAAGGGGAGGGGAGGGGAGGGGAGGGGAGCGGGAAGGGGAGGGGAGGGGAGGGGAGGGGAGCGGGAAGGGGAGCGGGGAGGAGAGCGGGGAGGGGAGCCGGGAAGTGCAGGCACCCGGTGGGTGCGCCCGGGCTGGGACCGGACGGGAAAGGGAAGGGAAGTGGGTGGGGAGAGGAGAGGCGCGGGGAGCGGGCGGGGAGGGCAGAGGCGCGCTGGGGGCTGGGAGCGGAGCGCGGAGCGGGTCCGAGGCGGGGCGGGTGGAACCGGGAGAGGCGCGGGGAAAGACTTGGGGAGAGGCCCGGGGAGGGGAGAGGCGGGGAGGGGAGAGGTGCGGGGAGAGAGGAGGGGAGAGGCGCGGGGAGGGGAGAGGCACGGCGAGGAGAGAGGCGGGGAGGGGAGAGGCGCGGGGAGGGACGGGGCGCGGGTCGGAGAGGGGCGCGGGGTCCGACCCCTCCGCGGGCAGGGGCGCGGCGCTCGCCCCTGTTCCAGCTCTCGGCACCGCCCCTCCCCCAAAGGCGCGGGGTCGGCGCCCGGAGCCAGACGGTCCCGGTCCCGGCTCGGAGCGCCCAGGTTTGACCCCGACCCCCAAGTGGGCCCTGATCCCGCCCAGCCCCAGCGCCGGCCCCGCCGCCTGCCCGCCGGGACGCCTCCTCTTTCTCCTCCTCTGGCTCGGGGAACGCCCCTCCCAGGCCTGCTGCCCCACCCCCCACCCCTGCAGGGCCTGAGCTGGGGGACTGTCCCCTCCTGACCCCCCTCCAGCCCTGCCCTCTGCAGGTCAGCCCTGGCCTGGCCCTTCAGGTGTGGCCAGTGGTGTGAGCCGACTACCGCTACCCACCAGCTCCCACCTGTATGACCCAGGGCTGGGCCCTTCAGATGAGCGCGCTCTGCACTCACCTGTCCTGTGTGCTCATCTGCCCACTGTGTGGACTCACCTATCTACTGTCTGCTCACCTGTCCACTGTGGACTCACCTGTCCTGTGTGCTCACCTATCCGCTGTGCGCTCACCTGTCCTGTGCTCACCTGTCCACTATGTGCTCACCTGTCCGCTGTGCGCTCACCTGTCCTGTGCGCTCACCTGTCCACTGTGTGCTCACCCGTCCTGTGTGCTCATCTGCCTCTGTGTTCACCTGTCCTGTGTGCTCACCTGTCCGCTGTGTGTACTTACCTGTCTATTGTGCACTCACCTGTCCACTGTGTGCTCACCTGTCCACTGTGCACGCACCTGTCCTGTGTGCTCACCTGTCCACTGTGTGCTCACCTGTCCTGTGCGCTCACCTGTCCACTGTGTGCTCACCTGTCCTGTATGCTCACCTGTCCTCTGTGTGTACTTACCTGTCTGTTGTGCACTCACCTGGCCACTGTGTGCTCACCTGTCCACTGTGCACTCACCTGGCCACTGTGTGCTCACCCGTCCTCTGTGCTCATCTACCTGCGTACTCACCTGTCCACTGTGTGCTTACCTGTTCTCTGTGCTCAACTGTCCTGTGTGCTCACCTGTCCACTGTGTGCTCACTGTCCTGTGTGCTCACCTGGCCACTGTGCTCACCTGTCCTGTGTGCTCACTGTCCTGTGTGCTCACCTGGCCACTGTGCTCACCTGTCCTGTGTGCTCACCTGTCCACTATGTGCTCACATGTCCACTGTGCGCTCACATGTCCACTGTGTGCTCACCTGTCCACTGTGCTCACCTGTCCACTGTGTGCTCACCTGTCCTGTGTGCTCACCTGTCCGCTGTGTGTACTTACCTGTCCGTTGTGCACTCACCTGGCACCTGTGTACTCACCTGTCCATCCTATGTGGACATCCTCACTGTAGGGAGAGGAGCCCGTGATGGGGCCATTGGCCCGTTGGCTGGTGGCCTCACAGGAGCGGCCTTCTCTCCAGTCCCCTGTCCCGGGTCCCATTCCCGCACTCACAGCCACACACGCCCCACCTGACGCCCTGTGGCCCCTGGCCCTCGGACCCCATGGACGCACACCACAAGCCTATTCCCCGTTTCTGCTCTCAGGCAGCCGCTGGGGCCAGAGTCCAGCCACGTCTTTGCCTCGTGCTTCCCACTGTTATTGTGGTTGCCTTGTTCCTGAGCCTGAGAGTGTTTCGTGGGTGCTAGGTGAGACCCCTTCCAGACTCACACAGGATTAAGTTAATCACACAGATTCACTCACACAGGAATAAGTTAAAAGCGGGTGTGGCTATCTACATTTTATAAGTATTGAAGCGAAGCAGTTTATGATTTTGGTTGACTTGGTTTACAGATCATGGTATTGCTGCAGAATTGAAGAAATCTTTATCTTATCGGAACTTATCTGAAATAACACAAATCGCCTTGTATGTTTCCTTCTAGAATAGCTATAGTTTTTAAGGTTTGACATTTAGATATCTGATTTATTTTTAGGTATTTTTTGTTCTAAGGGTTTTTTTTTTCCAAATTGGCATTAAAATTTTCCTTTTGCTGAAAGAAGCGTTCTTTCTCCACTGACTTGTTGCTATAACTTTGACAAAAATCCGTTGTGTGTGTGTGTGTGTGTGTGTGTGTGTGTGTGTGTGTGTGTGTTACCCGCGCATGCTTTCACCTGTGCCAGAGTGACCTGGGCACATCTGGCACTTTTTAAAAAATTTTTTTATTTTATAAAGTAGTTCAAAATATTTGATTACATTTAATATTCAAACACCATCCCACCACCACAACACCTTCCCACCACCACATTTCGGATGTTCCCGTCCTGAACCCCAATCTCTGCCCGCCCCAAAGCAGAACCAAAATAATATATTTTGTATTGTTTGTTATGAAGAACTGCTGAAGATGCTACAAAAAGGTTTCCTTAGGGGAAAGAGTGTGTAGATCGTTGTGTTCCACCCAGGGGCCATTAAGCCCTTCTATAAGAGATCACTAACATGTTGTTAAAGGTTGAGCCTTGTGTGCTTGTGTGCATCTATATCTGTAAAAAAATTAAAATCCCAATAAGAGGGGCTGGAGCAATAGCACAGCGGATAGGGCGTTTGCCTTGCACGCGGCTGACCCGGGTTCGATTCCCAGCATCCCATATGGTCCCCTGAGCACCGCCAGGAGTGATTCCTGAGTGTAGAGCCAGGAGTAACCCCTGTGCATCGCCGGGTGCGACCCCCCAAAAAAATCCCAATAAGATTGGTTGCCTCCTACTTTAAACCTCACCAAATCTGGTGCGGTACCCTTGGAGTATGGGTGGTGGTATGAGGTACCGCGGCCGCACGGTCCAGGAATAGGTTTGCTCGTGGGTGAGGCTCCACCTGGGCGTGTGGGGAGTGGCTGTGGGTGTGGCAGTGGTTGAGTTCTGGAGGTTTTCGGCTGCTGGGGCTGGTCCCTGGGGGCAAGGAGGGGCCCCACCCGCCCCCCTCCAGGGCGCCCCGAATGAAACAGCCTGTCCCGGGCGGGGTCTAGTGGCACGGTGATGGCATGTGTCCTGTTGTCCCTTCCGGGAGAGAAACACCTGGAACCTCACCCAAGCTCACATTCGCAGCGCTGAGGCCTTGGAAGGGGCCGGGTGGGCGCAGGCAGCTCTGAGCCCACTGCGGGGTGGCAGGCGACTCGGGGACAGGGTGCCGCTGCCCCAGGCCTGTCTCCCCTGGGGTCTCTCCCACTCTGGCCGCAGGAGGAACGAGGAGGGGACGCAGGGACAGGAGGCAGGGCGGGAGCTGTTCACAGTCTGGCAGGATCCACCAGTGATGCCCCCACCGGCCCAGCTGCGCCCGAGGTGGCCCCGCCCCGGACGCCACGCACTCATCCCGGAACCCCGCTGACATTTCACGGTCCGGGTGCGTGGGCGCTGGCGCCTGACTTAGAGCTGGCCGGTTTAATTACAGGGGGGCGCAGCGGCCGGGGCGGGCAGTGAGAAGGTGCAGCCAGGCGGAAGAGCCGGGCCTTTCTGGCAACGAGGGAAGCAGCGGCGAGGGGAGGAGAGGAGAGGAGAGCCTGGGTGTGATCACGGGTGACACTCACAGTCCAGGATGGCCCAGCTCGGGGCTGAGACAAGAGGCCGGAATCCGGCAGGACTTGGTCCTCAGAATCCCAGGGCTTTGGGCACCGCTTGGTCCTTCCCAGATTACTTTCCTAAGCCGCTAAGTTCACCACCACGTCACGGAGAGGCAGGTTCTCGTCTCAAGTTCAGACCGAACACTGTTCCCGGAGTCTGTCCCTCCGGCCGTCGGGGGCTATCGTGGCTTTTCGATCCGGGGGGATATCTTGCGTGGGCACTGACTCGGGCCAGTCCTTCTGGAGGAGCCAGCTCCTGCTCCCTCGGGGCTCTCTGTCGGCATCTGCGGAGTTCTTCCAGGCTGTGGCAGTGACCGCCTGGCAGTGAAGCCCCGTGTCCACTGCTGACTTCTGCCCCTCGGAGCGCCAGCAGCTCATCACGGCGGCACGGATGGTAACGAGGAGAGCCGGTTTGCAGCCACAGGCACGAGAAAATGGCCCCCGGCCGAGGTCAGGCTGCTGCCCCGTGTGGCCGCTGCATCTGCCTTTGGTTAGTCCCCCGCAGAGAAGTGCCTCTGGGTGACTCAGAGCGACAACTTCGTTCAAAACTACCGTGGTAGGGGCTGGAGGGTCAGCCCAGCCGGCAGGTGCTTGTCTTGGCACAGCCGATCCAGGTTTGACTCTGGGCACCACACCTGGTCCCCTGGTCCCCACCAGGAGAGATTCCTGAGCAGAGCAGGAAGAGGCACCAAGCAGGCCTAATGTGGCCCTAAAACCATGACGAAAACAGAGAGGATTTTAACTGAAAGTTCTAGTATTTTTCACAAAACTGTTTCCTCCATCAGAGAAACATATATATATTATATATATATATATATATATATTTTTTTTTTGCTTTTTGGGTCACACCCAGCGATGCTCAGGGGTTACCCCTGGCTCATGCACTCAGGAATCACTCCTGGTGGTGCTCGAGGGACCACATGGGATGCTGGGAATCAAACCCCGGTCGGCTGCA